CAGATTCTAAACTCTCCACCATGACCAAGACCAAAGAGCTCTCCAAGGATGTCAGGGACAAGATTGTAGACCTACACAAGGCTGGAATGGGCTACAAGACCATTACCAAGCAGCTTGGTGAGAAGGTGACAACAGTTGGTACGATTATTCGCAAATGGAAGAAACACAAAAGAACTGTCAATCTCATGAGAACGGTGAGGAATCAGCCCAGAGCTACACGGGAGGATTTTGTCAATGAGTTCAAGGCAGCTGGGACCATAGTCACCAAGAAAACAATTGGTAACACACTTAATGACTTGGAGAAGATCTGCAAAGAGGAGTGGGACAAAATCCCTCCTGAGATGTGTGCAAACCTGGTGGCCAACTACAAGAAACGTCTGACCTCTGTGATTGCCAACAAGGGTTTTGCCACCAAGTACTAAGTCATGTTTCGCAGAGGGGTCAAATACTTATTTCCCTCATTAAAATGCAAATCAATTCATAACATTTTTGACATGCGTTTTTCTGGATTTTTGTTGTTGTTATTCTGTCTCTCACTGTTCAAATAAACCTAACATTAAAATTATAGACTGATAATTTCTTTGTCAGTGGGCAAACGTACAAAATCAGCAGGGGATCAAATACTTTTTTCCCTCACTGTTAAAGAGGACAAACGAAATCTGGATGCGCGTTCGTAACAAAAATTACAGCTGCCTTAGGTTGTAGGTACGTGTGGGTTTTTGTTGTTGTTTATTGACGGCACGCAATGCAGATTGTTACCTTTAATCTTGCTAACACTGTGAGTTGTATCGTCACAATCTGTTTCGTGTTTGTCGAGTTGTTTTTCGGCGTCGGCTTTAAACCCCGCTGGCACTTTGCTCTTCTCTCAAAACTTTCACCTCGGCCGCCAACGTTCCGCCCGTGGTCAATGTTGTCATCGCCACATTAGGGGGGGTATCCTGCAAACAGGGAGTTGTCTCTCGTTTAATCTCGATTCTCTGTGCGTAGCTCGCCCCCCCCCCCTCCCCCGTGTCCATGAGTCAGTGTCTGTGCCGTGCCTGCCCGCAAACTGGTGGAGGCACACCTCGTGGATGGGATTCGTGAGGGCCCCCGCACTCTCCACGTCTCTCACCGACCCCACCCACACCCCATGTGTGGCATGACTTCACGAGCTTGTGGCAGCAACATCATCATCAGCAGCACCTCAGTGGATTTCATCCGCGAGTTTTTAAATAAATAAAATAACCCCCTCTCCCCCCCCCCCCCTCTCCCCCTCCAACGTAAAGGGCCGGACTTGGCTCCACAGCACAAAGTGGGAGGAGAGGTAAAGACAGCGATTCTTGACGGCTGCCCCTATCTGCATCCCCCCCCCCACCCCCCATATCATTCTGTGCTCACCTTTAGCTCAGTGCGTTTGCGGGGTTTTTTTTTTGCTTTTCTTCTCATTATTATTGGCACATCTGCAAGGCGAGTTGTTAAAAGGGTTTACAAATCGTCCCCTTCAGTGCGGGCAAGGGAGAGAGGAGGTTGGGTTCACTTGGCCTCGCTGGCCCTCTGCGACGATGACTATGAACCGGCTGGAAGAGTTTGCCTTTAGGCAGCACCTGGTGGCCATGCGCAGTGGCACGCTGACCACTCAAGATCGCTCCGTGTCCAGCAGTCGCATGGAGGCGCTGGGGAACGGCACGAGGAGCAAGGGCGAATGTGTCCAGCAGCAGCAGAGCAACGGCAGTTCTCTCCGGCAAGTCTCGTTCAACTCGGCACGATTATGTCTGTCTCCGAGTGTCAGCTTTGTAAAGTGTTGCGTTTGCTACAGCTTACACACACACACATACACGCCTTGGCACAGGCAGTGAAAAATGCTGTGTTCCTAGTGACAGCTTTGTAAAGTGTTGCGTTTGCTACACCTTAGACACACACACATGCCTCGGCACAGCCAGTGGAAAATGTTGTGTTCCTTGTGTTAGGATAATAGGGATTTCCCCTTTCTAGTAATAAAACAGATGTTAAGATATTCTTGGTTCTTTCGGTAAAGTCACATAGAAGGGAAACAATAAAATAATACAAATATAAAACAATAAAATTCTCACGACTGCAACACAAGCAATCATCATCAGGTGTGAAAACCACAGCAAAAAATATTTTTTTCAAATTTTCTTGCTGTTGTTTTCACACCTGATGATGATTGCTTGTGTTGCAGTCGAAACGTCGTGATAATTTTATTGTTTTATATTTTTATTATTTTATTATTTCCCTTCTACATGACTTTACCGAAAGAACCAAGAATATGAATCCCTGCAGTCACGAAAGCTTTAAATCAAAATTTAGATGTCAAGATGTTAAAACACCAAACTGAAACCTTTGCAAGGAATCATGTCTGCATTAACCACATACACATGTGGTGAAAATGCAAACAAAACAACATTATCTGACAGAATGTGCATTGTCTTTGAAACAGATTCCTTGTGTTCGCTTTGTAAAGTGTTGCGTTTGCTACACCTCAGACACAAACGCGCCTCGGCACAGCCAGTGGACAAGGTTGTCTTCCTCGTGACAGCTTTGTAAAGTGTTGCGTTTGCTACACCTTAGACACAAACGCGCCTCGGCACAGCCAGTGGACAAGGTTGTCTTCCTCGTGACAGCTTTGTAAAGTGTTGCGTTTGCTACACGTCACACACACGAGCACACCAAGTCACGCGGTGTTGTGGATCGGCATTTGTTCAACGCTGCCTCTGCTGATGAGACCCAAGGGGGTTGAAACTGACCCAGAGCTTTGCTTGCTCGAACAAATGCTGTGGGAAAATATTGGTCTCGAAAATTCGATGTTTAGCCCCTGGGCTAAACATATATTTTATTCATATTGTGGAGACAAAGAACAGATGTCAGCTTATATATAGCATTTAAATGTTCGTCTATTGTTATTCCATCCAACCCTCTAGGCTGCCACTTCTACTGATATATTATTCATTTGTTTGTGGTTCATGTTTTGTTCGTGACTAGCATTTCAAAAGTAGATGTAATCTTTAAAGAATGAGAAATGCAGAAACAGTTTCAAAAGAATAGGCACTGGCGTTATTTTCTTTAAACTGTACTTTAAAACAAAACACTCCAATAGCCTTTTTATTCATTCACTGCTCAAAGAAGCCATCCCATGCGTGTTTGTTTGACCATACTTCACCACGCTGATCACTGCGGGCTGGTGAAGAGGGGGGTTCTAAATACAGCACTGGTTCAGATATCACTCGCCACTGATGTTAGCCGTGGGCGCGAGTACACAACTCAGGTCGCTCGGTTTTTAGCGCATTACGCTAACTGCTGTGCCACCTCTCACTCTCTCGTAAGCATTTTAAAATACTCTCAAGAAATTAAATGATTGCTGTGAATGTCATATTCCAGTGTTCACTCATTTTCAGATGGAGGCCACTTTCGTCGATAGGGCATCATCAGTGTGAGGGCCGCCACACACATTTGACACCATTGTGGTTTGCCAACACGACGATGGGGGTGGTAAAAACTAGATTCGAAGCTTTCGTGACTGCAGGAATTATTACTCTTTGGTTCTTTCGGTAAAGTCACGCAGAAAGAAATTAAATAATAATAGAATACGACGTTTCCATTGCATTATAATAGAAAACGACGTTTCGATTGCATTATATTTCAAAGTTCACTCTGTTTGTTTTCTCATTCATTTGTACCTGATGATGGTTGCTCGTGTTGCAATCGCAACGTCGTATTATATTATTATTTTATTTATTTTATTTCTACGTGACTTTACCGAAAGAACCAAAGAGTGATGGGGGGGTGGGGGGTGGTGTTTTAACTTTTTGTTTATTATCGGGGGCCGCACGCCAGGGGGCCCACTAAAGGCCAGCAGGGGCCACAGTGACCCGCGGGCCTTGCGATGAAGAACGCCGCAATTCAATGAACATTGAATCGCGGTGGTTGAACATCCACACTGGTATCGGACACTAACGCTATTCCGTGTTGACATGGAAGGCTGCGAAGAATTAATTTAGCAGACACTCCCAAATTACACTTATTACTGTGAGACATTTTTTTTAGATCAACATTTATTTTTTAACGTGGCTTGCCAGCCTAACTCTTTGGTAATTTCACAAGTCAGATTTGAGCATGTGGTTTATCAGCCGCGTAAAGTGTATGTTAAACGCCTGTAACGTACCTCGCAACAATAGACCGTGACGCACAAATTTTCCAATCAAATGCCACCAACCAATATCTCCTTAGTTGTGCCCGATCTCATCCAAGTCTTGAAAACTACGCAGGCTTGTGGCCTGGGGAGTGTCTCGGAGTTGGAGTCGTGGGCTGAAAAGTGGGCAGGAAATGGTCGTACAAAAATGTATAGAATCAACATGTCCAAATATGTTAGCGTCACTTCCTCTCAATTGCATGGCCATTCTCTGACGATTCTGGTTTCCAGCCACAGGCAGCCACTCATTAATGGAATCGGTCAAACATCCCAACGCGGGACTCTCGTGCAAATCAGTCTTGAGAGTCGGTAAAGCTCTCCCAGATACATTAAGGGCAGGGCTATTATAAGCAGTAAAGTACTATAATTAATTTAGAAAAAGCAAAAAGACTGGTTTTAATAATATCATTAGACCTCCTTTGCCAGTACCAAAATGTAATAATAGGGTTTTTCCCCTTTTTTCTGGCAACAAACCTGAAACATTTTTACAAGGATTCATGTCTGCATTAACCACAATACCTGCAGTCAAACTGCAAACAAAAAACATACTATGATAATATATTATGGTTTTAATAAGTTGCGGAACTGTCTGATACATCTTTCGCTGTGTTTTTATGTCCATTGTTTTGTGGAACGATTTGGTCAAAATTATAAACTGAAAGCTACATTTTTTTTTTAAACAATATCCGATTAGCATTTTATAGGTGCAAATTACTGCGTTCATTTAGGATTAACGAATTCACTTTTAGTCTCGTGCAGTGTACCGATCAGATCCCATATTACTTATTAATCCAAAATGTGGGTGGGTCATACAAGTCTCACCGGTACCGTAATTAATTCAAGGTAAATGGCTTACCGCTTCCATCGGGGTGTGAACGAATTGTGGCCTTGCGGCACGCGATAATGACAATGGGGGAGGGGGGGGGTGTCAACAACAAACTAGTAGTCGCGAGATCAGATGCCACATTACAAGTCTGCATGTGAGTGGTGACTCAAGTTTCCCCCGATGCCGTCATTGTCAAAGTTAAATGCCACGGTCGGTGGTGCCACGACCGATGTTCATTGCCCTCGCCGTTCGCAACACGCGACCGCTCGATGCCGAGGCTGCGTGAATTGCGCGGTATTTGTCGGTGCTCTCCGGCGAGCGAGCGTCTCCGTGCGTGTCCGTGCGCGTAAAGCAGGCAGGATTCTCTGGAGGCGTGTACCAGCCTGCTTCAGCACGAAGTCCAGCGCTGCGAGGACCTACTCAAGCGCGCTGACACGTACCTACAGGCTGTGAGTCACGCACGTCACGATCGGTATCTTCGATTAGCACGTCTAGGCGAACAGCCTTCGTCCATGGAGATGGGACATTTCGTGGAGAGTCTGCATGGTGCCGTGCCACGCGCACGTTATAAAGGTGCAGCACTGCAAATAGTTTGCTCGCGCCTCCACTAGATGGGACCTCTAGAGAGGGGAGTTTGGCCTACTCTTCCACGAGGTTGGAGTTCCCACACTTTACCCAATCACACCCAACTTGCAAATTGTCCAATTGTGTCGTACACATGTATACTGCCGGGTGTTCTATTTTATTCCAATATTGCTGTTCGCACCATCAAGTGAGAAAAATCACCCTTTCAGAAGACTTTCAGAGTGCTGGATAACCTATTTGTCTGAGGACTAACGGAAGCAGATATCAAAGGACTACTTCTTAGATCCCTGCAAGTGACACCTTTTATCCACGCACTAGGGGATGCAGGATTCTTTGCGATGCAATGATGTTTGTCGCATGGCAGCCAAACCGATATGTCTTTTAAACTATCGGAGTTGGATTTTTCAAAATTAAACGACATTTAACAAAGAAATAAATAGAAACGACTGCTTTTTTATGCGAGTGAAGTCATCGGATATTGGGCTGAGGCCGTCACCTCGCAACACTTATGAACTTACTTTAATCACAAATGACTAACTGGGTTTGAGCCTGGGATCGCAGCAGTGCTAGGCTCAGTGTTCTTCACGCCTAAGCCACCTTTGCGACCTCAAAACCAATAAAGTCTTAAAATGGGGCATTACGTAAGCAGCTGCAAGCCCACTGACTCGCCCGTGTCTCAGTGCATTCTATTGCAACTGTCTCACCTGCTTTAAAACCAGGGGTGTAACCCTCCATCAATTCACTCACATCGCTGCCCATACATGCCTGGAGGCTAGTCACTGGCCACAGGTGCATAGAAGCGGGTTATAGATAGGTTTGACGCGATATACAACTTTAATTACAGTATCCACTCTTGTATTGTGTAGTTTTTGTGATTTGCTGTGCACCCAGTTCAAATAAAGGTTACTTAAACGTTCATAAACTGCAGTTCACTTCACATATACCTGTTATATGTCTTATGTTGAAGTCCGTTACGCTTGCAATTGCACGTACTACTAATAAATTAACTCTGAAAACGTATTGAACCAAGCACTTTTTTTCAGGAATAATAGCTATTTACATCATTCATTCGAGATTCTTTGGTTCTTTCGGTAAAGTCACGTAGAATGAGAAGAAAATAATAAAATGAAACAATAACATTCTCACGACGTTTCGGCCACAACACAAGTAGCCTTCTTCAGGTGGAGGAACAAAACTGTCGGGACGACAGAGGTTTAATGAACGTTGCTAAGATTCGTGGCGTCTTTTTAAGCTGGTTGAGAGAAGTGAGGCACCTTGACAAAGGGGTTTACGTGTCAAACAGGAGAATTTATCATTGAAATAGCTGGGGGATTAGCTTGTGACTGGTCACAGAAATGGCTATGTTAAAGTCAAAGCCTACACATCCACAGAGGCACCTAGTACAAATCAAACATGAGAATTTAGCATTGAAATAACTGAGGGATTAGCTTGTGACTGGTCAACGAAATAGCTATGTTAAAGTCAAAGCCTACACATCTACAGAGGCACCTAGTACAAATCAAACAGGAGAATTTAGCATTGAAATAGCTGAGTGGTTAGCTTGTGACTGGTCACAGAAATGGCTATGTTAAAGTCAAAGCCTACACATCCACAGAGGCACCTTGTATAAATCAAACATGAGAATTTAGCATTGAAATAACTGAGGGATTAGCTTGTGACTTGTCATAGAAATAGCTATGTTAAAGTCAAAGCCTACACATCCACAGAGGCACCTAGTACAAATCAAACAGGAGAATTTAGCATTGAAATAACTGAGGGATTAGCTTGTGACTTGTCATGGAAATAGCTATGTTAAAGTCAAAGCCTACACATCCACAGATGCACCTAGTACATGGACGCCAAAGGGGGCTGCAACCACTCGACTATCATATAGTAAACCGATGTGAAAAACCCAAGTCTTAATTACATCAATATAATAAATGTACTCAATATATTCTTCAATAAGCAGAGCTATTAACGGCAACTGGGTATACACTACACTATATAATGAATACCATATAGTAAACAGATAAAAAAATATATATAAACGACCTCAATGTTATCAATAAACTCTATATTCTCCAATCAGCTGAGCTACCAACAATAAGTCGTTATATATCACGATGCTATATGGCGAAAAAATGGGTGGATTCTTACCCTCCACGTCAGCACCACCGACAGCTACGAGCCCCGTTCAGACGGACGAGTCCATCCATGGTCGGAACAGAGGAGGGAGGAGAGAAACAGCTGCGAGGCGCTGTTATAATCATGTTATAAACCATACCATTAACCGTGGTGTGATAAGTATTAAGAGTCAATGCCAGCGAAAGAACTGCGGTCTGAAGGTCACGATAAAACACAATTAATTAAGAACCGAAATGGTTTAAAACATCTTTCCAATGGTTACTAAGCCAGAATCCATCCTCTCGGTTGAAATTGTCTCTGTGCTTGTATATGTGGATGGCCTCATGAACGAATCTCTCATGGTAGCCGGTTGGCTTGCAAAGAACCTCTGTCTTGGAGAAGTCTATGTCACGTGAGCCCACTGAATTATAACAGTGATCTGCCACGGCAGAGGAGTTCATTCTACCGTGTTTCAAGTCTGCTTTATGTTCGCGGATGCGGTCCGAGATATGTGGTTTGGTTTCTCCAATGTAGCTACTACCACAGAGGCACTTTAGTTTGTAAATGCCCGGGTACTGTATGTCTGGAACAGCATCTTTTACAGATGGAACCAGATCACGGATTTTATGTACTGTGTTGAATCGGACCTGGATCTTGTGTTTATTCAGGATTTTGGAGATCTTTTTAGTGACCCCTGCAATGTCGGGTAAGGTGATGGTTTTGAGTGGCTCCACAAGAGGATCCTTCTTCATGACTGGAGTGATGGCTTTGCGGATTGTGTAGTCGGAGTAACCATTAGCCCTGAGAGCCTGGTGTACGTGTTTGAGTTCACTGGTAATGTGTTCCTGGTCGGAAATGCATTGGGCTCGATGGTATAGAGTCTTGATGAGGGAGTTCTTCTGGGATGGATGGTGGTGGGAATCCGGTTTCAAGTAAGCATCTGTATGGGTAGCTTAACTGTAGACAGAGTGGCTCTTTGAAGCATCAGGTCTCCTTTTGATTAAGACATCCAAAAAGGGTAGCTTGCCATCTCTTTCGACCTCCATGGTAAATCTGATGGCTGGGTGTATGGAATTGATGTGGTCGCGGAATTGGCCTAGAGCAGGCTGGCCATGTGGCCAGATGACAAAAGTGTCACCCACGTACCTCTTCCATAAGGTCGGGCGTAAGGTGGCAGTCTGGATGGCGTCAGTTTCAAATTTTTCCATGAATACGTTGACTACAACCGGAGACAGGGGGGAGCCCATTGGGGTGCCCTCAGTCTGTTTGTAGAAAGTTCCATTCCAGATGAAGTATGTGTTGGTTAAGCAATGTCTCACCAGGGGGGGGTACATCAGTATGCAGTCCTTGATGAACCAGGTCTTCAATGATAGCGATGGTGTCAGGTACTGGAACTTTGGTGAACAAGGACACCACATCAATTCCATACACCCAGCCATCAGATTTACTATGGATGTCGAAAAAGATGGCAAGCTAACCTTTTTTGGATGTCTTAATCAAAAGGAGACCTGATGGTTCAATGAGCCACTCTGTCTACAGGAAAGCTACCCATACAGATGCTTACTTGAAACCGGATTCCCACTACCATCCATCCCAGAAGAACTCCCTCATCAAGACTCTATACCATCGAGCCCAATACATTTCCGACCAGGAACACATTACCAGTGAACTCAACCACGTACACCAGGCTCTCAGGGCTAAAGGTTACTCCGACTACACAATCCGCAAAGCCATCACTCCAGTCATGAAGAAGGATCCTCTTGTGGAGCCACTCAAAACCATCACCTTAACCTACATTGCAGGGGTCACTAAAAAGATCTCCAAAATCCTGAATAAACACAAGATCCAGGTCCGATTCAACACAGTACATAAAATCCGTGATCTGGTACCATCTGTAAAAGATGCTGTTCCAGACATACAGTACCCAGGCGTTTACAAACTAAAGTGCCTCTGTGGTAGTAGCTACATTGGAGAAACCAAACCACATATTTCGGACCGCATCCGCGAACATAAAACAGACTTGAAACACGGTAGAACGAACTCCTCTGCCGTGGCAGATCACTGTTATAATTCAGTGGGCTCACATGACATTGACTTCTCCAAGACGGAGGTTCTTTGCAAGCCAACCGGCTACCATGAGAGATTCGTTCATGAGGCCATCCACATATAAAAGCACAGAGACAATTTCAACCGAGAGGAGGGATTCTGGCTTAGTAACCATTGGAAAGATGTTTTAAACCATTTCGGTTCTTAATTAATTGTATTTTATGGTGACCTTCAGACCGCAGCTCTTTCGCTGGCATTGACTCTTAATACTTCTCACACCACGGTTAATGGTATGGTTTATAACATGATTATAACAGCGCCTCGCAGCTGTTTCTCTCCTCCCTCCTCTGTTCCGACCATGGATGGACTCGTCCGTCTGAACGAGGCTTGTAGCTGTCCGTGGTGCTGACGTGGAGGGTAAGAATCCACCCATTTTTTTCGCCATATAGCATCGTGATATATAACGACTTGTTGTTGGTAGCTCAGCTGATTGGAGAATATATAGAGTTTATTGATAGCATTGAGGTAGTTTATATATTTTTTTTATCTGTTTACGATATGGTATTCATTATATAGTGTAGTGTATACCCAGTTGCTGTTAATAGCTCTGCTTATTGAAGAATATATTGAGTACATTTATTATATTGATGTAATTTAGACTCAGGTTTTTTTCACATCGGTTTACTGTATGATATTTGAGTTGTTGCAACGCCCTTTTGGCATCCATGCACTAGGTGCCTCTGTGGATGTGTAGGCTTTGACTTTAACATAGCTATTTCGTTGACCAGTCACAAGCTAATCCCTCAGTTATTTCAATGCTAAATTCTCATGTTTGATTTGTACTAGGTGCCTCTGTGGATGTGTAGGTTTTAACTTTAACATAGCTATCTCTGTGACCAGTCACAAGCTAATCCCCCAGCTATTTCAATGATAAATTATCCTGTTTGATATGTAAACCCCTTTGTCAAGGTGCCTCACTTCTCTCAACCAGCTAAAAAAAGGCGCTACGAATCTTAGCAGCGTTCATTAAAGCTCTGTCGTCCCGACAGTTTTGTTCCTTCACCTGAAGAAGGCTACTTGTGTTGTGGCCGAAACGTCGTGAGAATTGTATTGTTTTATTTTATTATTTTATTCTCATTCTACGTGACTTTACCGAAAGAACCAAAGAAGATGAATCCTTGCAGTCACGAAAGCTTCAAATCAAAATTCATTCGAGAGTTTATTATTTCATCCACATTATGCGGGGAAATACGATAATTAAGAAAAAAATATATAAATGAGCAAAACAACTTACGGGTGCCAAAATAAGCACGGAGATGCACGCTCAGAATTACATTGAGAGACATAACAAGGGGAACACGTGGATGAGAGGACGTACGCAAGTTCATGACGTCAATTCAAGTTTGTAAGTTGACCTGGAACAGGGCGCGTCGCTCGTTGGGATGGTGGTCGATGGTGAAGAATATTTGTAGTGTTTATAAAGACGAATAAACTTCTTAGGAGGTTGAATAAAGGTGTCAGTTTTTTGTACCAGTTAAAAGGGTAAAACCTATTACTATGTCTTGTTACTGGCAAAAGGAGGTCTCATAATGTAAATGCTCACCCCGAGCCCTCAATACTCTGATAGTGCACTGTTTTTGAGTTGTACGCCTTTTTGCGTTTTCTGGTCCAACACCAGTGGAGACTAGGCTCTAAAGAAAGCCGTCTCGGGTGTGGACCAATCAAATTCAAGGACAGTGCATATTATTATCAGAGTTGTCTTTTTGTTTGCATTTTGACTGCTTGTGTTGTGGTTATTGCAGACATGATGCCTTGAATAAAGGTGTCAGTTTTTTGTACCAGTTAAAAGGGTAAAACCTATTACTATATCTTGTTACTGGCAAAGGAGGTCTCATAATGTAAATGCTCACCCCGAGCCCTCAATACTCTGATAGTGTGCTGTTTTTTGAGTTGCACGCCTTTTGGCTTCTTCTGGTCCAACACCAATGGAGACTAAAGGGCTCTAAAGAAAACTGTCTCGGGTGTGGACCAATCAAATTCAAGGACAGTGCATATTATTATCAGAGTTGTCTTTTTTGTTTGCATTTTGACTGCTTGTGTTGCGGTTATTGCAGACATGATGCCTTGAATAAAGGTGTCAGTTTTTTGTGCCAGTTAAAAGGGTAAAACCTATTACTATAGGTTACACTCTGTTTATTGTAATTCTTTCCTTATACAGTCCTCAACACACAGAGGGGAATCCGCTCCCCTCACCCGATACCCTAAGGAGGTACAGCCTCCGGACTCAGCGTAACCTACACACAGGTCTCCTTGATACCTAAGGAGGTACAGCCTCCTACCTTGGCGGGACTTACACGTCTATCGCTATTCTAGCCTAAGGAGGTACAGCCTCCTACCTTGGCTGGACTTACACGTCTACCGCTATCCTAACCTAAGGAGGTACAGCCTCCCATATTGGCGGGACTTACACGTCTACCGCTATTCTAGCCTAAGGAGGTACAGCCTCCTACCTTGGCGGGACTTACACGTCTACCGCTATCCTAGCCTAAGGAGGTACAGACTCCTATATTGGCGGGACTTACACGTCTACCGCTATCCTAGCCTAAGGAGGTACAGCCTCCTATATTGGCGGGACTTACACGTCTACCGCTATCCTAGCCTAAGGAGGTACAGACTCCTATATTGGCGGGACTTACACGTCTACCGCTATCCTAGCCTAAGGAGGTACAGCCTCCTATATTGGCGGGACTTACACGTCTACCGCTATTCTAGAGTCCTCCGGCTGGGACCTAGGGGAGGCTATCTGACCCACCGCTGGCCCGGTGGGCCCTGACCACTGGATACCCGAGCCTTAGCCCTCAGAAGGGCTGGACGGCTGGTCCAGGGTCCTAGCTAGTCTTCAGCCCGGGCTTCGGTCTTCGTGTAGGGAGAGAACTCCCCGAGCTCTGCGCGGTCACCCTGCTTATACTCGTTTGTGGCCAGGTGTAACCAATCCCACATTCCCACGTGGAACTGTGTGATTGGTTCTTACCAAACCGTGGCTACGATCCACTTCACCTCGTCTGACCCCAACCGTTATGTACCCAGAGGTAACGCTGCACTGCCCCTTTTATACCTGGTGGCAATGCAGGTTATCGAACAGTGCGTAGTTAACACCTCTACATATTGATGGGAGTAGAAAAGCCCCCCAAAAGAAATTGGCCACACGTTCCAGTCGGACGAACCCAACAAGGAGATTTGATGCGAGAAGATCAGCTGAGGTGCAGGCGCTCTCTGAATTAATGATTACATCACGGGATTGTTTGGAGGCCTTCATCCAGCAGGGCGTTGACCATGGCTGACGATGACGGTTGTGAAAATGAGCAATTACCACGTAAAAAAATATTGTTGCTAAACGGACATTACAATGATGAAGAATAGGCGTTAACCTTTCTGGCAATCAAACAGGAGGCGGTAAGATGTTCAAACACCAAACAGATACCTGTTTCGATGTAAAGCTTTCGTGACTGCAGGGATTCATCTTCTTTGGTTATTTCGGTAAAGTCACGTAGAATGAGAATAAAATAATAAATTAATAAAATAAAATAACAATTAAATTATCACGACGTTTCGGCCACAACACAAAGTGGCCTTCATCAGGTGAAGGGACGAGACTGTCTCGAGGACAGCGCTGGAGCGAACACAGCGCTGTCCTCCAGACAGTCTCGTCCCTTCACCTGATGAAGGCCACTTGTGTTGTGGCCGAAACTGTGTTCGCTCCAGCGCTGTCCTCGAGACAGTCTCGTCCCTTCACCTGATGAAGGCCACTTGTGTTGTGGCCGAAATGTCGTGAGAATTTTATTGTGTTATTTTATTTGATTATTTTTTTATTTTATTCTCATTCTACGTGACTTTACCGAAAGAACCAAAGAAGATAGATACCTGTTGCATAGCATTACGCCTGCATTAAACACACCGTACTTGCGGCAAGCACATGCAAATAAACATGGTCTGATTATAAAATCTTCACACCTGTTGTTTTGCCAGAAAGGGCAAATAAAGCCGATTCTTCTCTTTTCATCATTTCCACCACTGGCAAAAAGGTCCCACAAGATATTACAATTGCCACGCGCCGTTCACCGTAGCGACACATCACAATGTCTCGTGACCCCTCCGAGCCGCGTGGTAACGCCCACGTGTTTTTCTCGCCCGCGGTGTTTTCCGCTGTCGGCGTGCGTGCAGGACATTCGGCGCATGGAGACGGGCCACCAGCCGTGGCACATGGCCGAGACGGACGAGTGCCTCTGGGAGGCGGAGCAGCTCGTGCAGAGCCTCTACCAGGAGGCGCACGTGCTCACCGAACGGCAGCACCCGCACTCCGAGTGCCTGAAGGCCAGGTAGCGGCCAGCCGGGCGCACTCTTGCCACTCCGGCACATTCGCACTCTATCTCTCTCTCTCTCTCATCACACACAGACCGTTGGGGCAAGTGCTGTTAGCGAGTAGCACCTATGAAGGCCGGCCGGCACCACGCCCGGCCTCTTTTGTCCCCATAGTGGCGATGTTTATACACCGCACCAGGTGCTCATTTGAGGCCAAGTCGACCACCGGGGAGGCCCATGACCGGTTCAGATAATAGTCAGAGGCGTTGGCCTTGAGCAGGAATCGAACTCGGGACGTCGGGTATGTAGCGCAGCGCGCAAACCGCTGCGGGGACGCTCTCTCACACGCACGTGTGATCACGTACGTGCCCTCACAGCCGCACGCACGTCCATGCAAGCGCACAATTACGACAGCAGCCACAATTTACCACCAAGTCACTGCCTTTTCACCACAATGCTTGCGACAGGCTGCGCGCCCTTTTGAGGCCACGTGAAGTGTTGAAGGCTCGCTGGCAGATGCATCACGTTGTGCTCCCCACTGTGCCAGTGGCGTGCACGTGTTGGTTTTTCATGCAGTCATTGTTGACTGGGCTGGCTTCATCAAATCACTGCGCTTAAAATCTCACGGTGGTGAGAGGTTATGAGTGCTTGAGTTCGATTCCGACCCTGATACCTGCATATTCGGAATTTTGCATGTTTTCCCCGTGGTCACGTGGATTTTTCTCCAGGTCCTCCGGTTTTTCCCTCCACATTCAGAAACGTGCGTTTAGACTATTTGGCTGCTATGAATTTCCACATTTCCTATATTTTTAACCTGATGACGATTGCTTGTGTTGCGATCGAAACGTCATGATATTGTTATTTTTTATTATTATTTGTTCTGTCTACGTGGCTTTACCGAAAGACCCAAAGAATATGAATTTCCACATGATAAACCACTTCGCGGAGCTATTTGTGGCCAGGTCGATTCTGAAAAATAGCAAAAAGCTCAGAGGGCTTTACCTGGTAACATACGTACAAGGTGCTTCAAAAAAACTGTTAACACTTACATGCGACTATCGTTTGTAATGGAAAAAAAGAACGGATAATACTACACTGTAACATGATAACAAATGTAATGTTAATAGTTTCTAAAAAGTCAAAGAGTCTCCCACTTGCTCGCCACCGTTGCCAACGCGTGGCCTGGAATCTCCTCCATGTGACCTCCAGAGCCCCCCGAGGCAGCAGCACATTTCACGTGGTATCCTTGCAACATTCTCAGAAGCGCCATTGGAAACCTCATTTGCCAGTAACAAAATATGGCAAATGAGGTTTCCAATGGTGTAAATGCTTACCCCGAGCTCTCATACTCTGATGGTGCGTTGCCTTTGAGTTGTGCGCCGTTTAGCGTCTTCTGGTCCAACACCACGTGAGACGAGGCTCTAAAGAAAGCTGTCTCGGGTGTGGACCAATCAATTTCAAGGACAGTGCATACATACATACATTATCAGAGTTGTTGTTTTTTGCTTCCGTTCCGACCGCAGGTATTGTGGTCAATGTAAACATGACTCCTTGTAAAAAAAAAAGGTGTCAGTTTTGTTGCCAGATAAAAGGGTAAAAAAAAAACAATTCTCATATTCTCAGAAGCGGTTTTAAAAAAACTAAATTCGACGCGTCTCAAGCCGGTTGCCCGCCGGGCGCTCTGACCCTCCGATCCGCACCAAGCCGCGGCGTGCGAACTCCCGCGTGCGCCCGCAGGATCGCCAGCCTGCGTGGAGAGCTGCAGGTGCTGCAGGAGCACCGCGCGCGCCTGCAGCCCCAGAACGGCGCGCGGAGCCCCATGAAGCAGCGCGAGGCCATCCTGTACACGGGGCAGCGTTTCAAGGGCAAGGGCGGGCAGCGGGTGGCGGGCGAGTCAGAAACCATGCAGTTCATCACGGAGCTGCTCGCCTGGGTGGAGCGCAGCGAGGTGACCGCCTGCAGCACGCCGTGTTCGGCCAGCCGGGTTTCTGTTACATTGCATTTATGGCTTTTATTTTGGTGATTTCTAAAACGTTTTTTTTTTGGTATGGCCATGTTTTTGTTTATTGTAGTACGGAGTTAGACTGATGGCCTGAATCTAAGTTTTATTGTTGTTGTTGTTGACGTTTGAGTTGCATCCCGCTGGGATTTTTGCACACAGCGTTGGTGTGCGGTGCTATTTCAGGAATATTTTGATGTTTTTTTTCCTGGATTTTCTGTTTGCACAGTCACGCATAGTCACTTTAAGATGTTTTCTTGTTCATGTTTTTTTGTTTGTTTGTTTTTTTGCGATTGCACCCGATTCAAGAGCCGAATGGCTCACAGGGCTATACCAAAATAAATGAAACTATGAACTTGTTTGTTTGTTCGAGACGGGAGACGAAGGCAGCGCCGTTTCCACGATTTGACAAACTTTTGTGTTTAAAACTTTTTTTTGCCATATCCCGTTAACACTGAGAACTCCATGACAAAACCGTCTGTCCATTAGGGAGCCGGTGGAGCTACGCACTTTTTTAAATCTTGATTGAAAACTCATTTCTTTGTTATTGCTTTTTGTGTGTGTTTAGTTTGTTGTCCTTCCTCCGCACCTGCGATTAGCACGGTTGGCTGCGTACGGTGTGAAAAAAAGTTCAACATACACACACGCGTTGTTATTTTTACGCTTGTTTACGCATGAGAGCCTGGCTGCGTGTCAAGACCATTTTTAAAGAGAGCCCAGCCCAGTTGTTTATATTTTTGTTTTGCATGAGAGGGTGGTGAAGTTGTCGCTATGTTTAATTGAGTAATTTACAAGTAATATGTCAGCATTGGGACACTTGAACCTTATGGCGCTACCCCGGGATGCCATAGTACCCCGGCTCTCGCATAATGTCCGTGATGCAGTCATGTTTAGTCTGTTGATGGTCGGCGATGCGGCAATCGACTCATCTCGACGAGCTGTACACGATGCACCACCACGGTGCGTACGAGCGTTCGCGGTTTCAGCACAATCGTCCTCGCTGCGTTTCGACATCGCGGAGTAGCACCACCGATTTCGGATCGGTGGTGCTAACTCCCCAGTCGAGGAGTTAAGTAACACCCCTGGGAAAAAAATAGTGTCCCAGAAATAAAATATTTAATTTGCCACGGCCAGTTTGTATTATTCGGTACCCCGCCATATAGGATAATTTGTCCGATACTGGGTTACGGGGGGGGGGGGGGGGGGGGTGGTGGAGGGTTTGTTGGAGAGAAATCAAACTCCACACAGGAAGGGGCCCGAATTTCGGGTCGAAGCGAGAGCCGCGAGTGTCCCCACTGTGAACTCTGCTGCCTCACGTGGTCATAAAGTGCCATCACGTTGATTATTTGTGTGCAAACAAGTCCCCCCCCCGTACCCACCGGTACCCACCTCCCCTTCCTTCAGGAGAGGCATTGCACCTGTGGAAATCCATCGAATTTATGACCTGAAGCCTCATTAAGCGTTGTCCTCCACCATCTAGTCATTTTTGACCTTATCCATGTCACCGAATTCTCCTGATGACGATTGCTTGCATTGCGATCGAAACGTCGTAATTTTTTTTATTTTCTTTGAACCTATCTACGTGACTTTACCGAAAGACCCAAGAATATAATGAAAGATACATTGCAAATCTAAGCAGTAGCAATGTATGCTACCCTAGTATTGGCCACTGTTTTGTTTGACTCGGTTGAAGATGATAAGTTGTAAATAAATAATTATCAAACCTTCTTCCCCTTGTTATTTCTGGTCAGCATACGCGCTCACCTAACGCTATATGACGCATCTATCTCAGATGCTGTGACGGATTGACAGACAGGGCTGACAAATGGAAGTTTCACATATATAGAAGGATTATTTTCACCCTTGCAGTCCACACGTCGTCCGATTGGCTGAGCATTCTGGTGGTGTGTCTGTGATGTGTGCAGGTTCACATTGAGAATATCAGGTGGGGGGATAGCAAGGCAACTGTGGAATCTCAGTTCCAGAGCCACACGGATCTGCACAATATGATCGAAGTCATCGGAGAGCGGGTGGAGGAAGCCAAACTTCTCGAGGTACGGTTTGAATGTTGTATCCCAACTCTACAACCAGTTACTGACAGCAACCCCACCTATGCATCTGGGAGAAAAAAAAAAGCATTGCTTCAACTTTCTGAGTATTCTCAGACTTGCGAGGGTTTATGTATGATATGAAAAACAATGGAATTTGACCTTGCTTATTTTATTCAGGCCCAGCACACAAAAGCAAGAATATTTTTTTGTTTCTTTGAACTGCCCGTTTTATGCCAATCCTGTCTGTGACCTTGGAACAATGTTCACGTCCACTAAAACAGCTGAAACATGTCATCTGCCATGGGGCCGTCCATAAATGACGTCACGCGATTTTGGACGATTTTTGACCCCCCCCCCTCCCGTCACACGGCGTCACAAAAAGTCAGACCCCCCCCTCAAATATGACGTCACAAAGCTCTGCCCCCCCCAAAAAAAATATAAAACATGCTTCAAATCGCTTTAAACTATTGTCATTGTAGTGCGTATTTAATGTGGCGCTGCACTCTGATGTTGCAGGAGAAAACATTTATTAAAAGGTATATTTAATTAAGTAGAACGTGTTGTCTATATTTATTTAAAGTTGCGCATTTTGATGTGACGTCACATTTCTCAACCCCCACCCCCTCGTCACACATCGTCACAAATGTCTGACCCCACCCCCCACCCCAGGTGTGTGACGTCATTTATGGACTAAGACAATTGGTTTAAAAATGTGAACGCTTGCAAACTATTAGAAAAAAGCGGAAATGTGTCCAAATGTATGCAGAGGTTTGTACTTTGAATTACACTGATAGGCACAACGATGCAATAGAGGTTTCTTTGGGGGTTAGATCACATAGCGCAAGAGCGCAAAAGCGTGCTCACCACATCCACGCCTCTATATAAGGAACGGAACAGTTAGACTTCTCCACAAATCTGGCTGTCGCCTGATGAAGCTAGTTGTAATCACTGGCGAAGCGTCGTACTCAGTTTGTAAATGTTGTGGCTTGGCTCTCCAACACACCGGTTAGTGCTGTACTAGTGACGAATTGGCCACGTTCTGTTTACGTGACAACCCTTACTAGTTGGCCGTGTCGGGTGGTGGCGGGTTTTAACGACACACTTATATATTTACACGATTTAACCGGAAAAAAACCCTCTATTACGGATGATATTGGTCGCGAAAGCCTACATGTTAAAAAGATGCAAAGTTGGATCAATGAGCCAATGCAGTAAGAGACTTCAGAATGACTCCAGGCAAGAGTCATCGCTCAAAGATATTGTGTTCAGTGGCCAAGATCAGTAATGGAACGGCAGTCATTGACGAGAATTGTACTTGAGAGGATGACCACTACAAAGAGAGAGCAAATAAGATCGACACACGCACGGGAGTGAGATGGATTGTGGCATCTCGAGGTTGTGAGAGACAATTACAGTGTTTGGAGGTCGTCATCCAGCAGTGGATAAACAATGGTTGATTATGGAAATGATATTTATATAAAAAAAACTGCCCATCAGGCCCTTTGCATATGTCATAGATGGTCACCCACTACTTTGTGAACTAACAAGTCATCGAGTTTCTGGGTAGTAGCTAAAGTGGTGCGTGTGTGCAGCGGTAGTGGAGTTGGTTAGCACGCCACGCTACGAACCCGGCGACCCGAGTTCGATTCTCGCTCACGGCCGATAACAGTGACGATTATCCGAATTGGTCCTGGGCTTCCCCTAGGTCGACTCAGCCTCAAGTGAGTACCTAGTGCGGTGTGTAAACATCACCACTGGGGAGACAAAGGCGTCCAGGCGTGGTGCTGGCCACCCACCCCCTCGTTTGCCGTGCCAGCCTTCATAGGTGCTCGCTAACAGGACTTGCCCCAACAGTCTGTTACAGGCTACACGGGGGATCTTTGTCTTTGTTTGTCCGTTATCTGTTGTTTCAGGCATCTGTGCCCCAGTCTTACAGACGCAAGTACCAAGAGGCACTCCAGGCACTGATCTCCAAATACTCCAGCTTGACGGTGGGACCTCTTCATGTGTTTTCATTTCTGTTGAGCTGACGCTCACACCTTCTTTGTGTTTTATTTTATTGGGTGCAATTGTGAACAAGAGCCGTATCATCTAAACGGCATAAATGTTGGGTTCACTGCAGCTCAATGACTGGGTCCTGCATGGCGCGTGGTGTCCGTTTTGATCCGTACGGTAGAACGAACACCACCTGGGTCCTTGTTTCTTGGTAGCAATTGAGAGTAGGGTTCAAGTGTTGCTGGCCCGTTGACCCCCCTCCACCAGGCGCACTTGAGCAGTGCGATGGAGGTGTAACGCTGCACATGACCTCATCTGAAAGCATCCGAAAACTCAGAACAGATCGTGCTCAGGCGTGAGCCACTCGGCCAAGGGTGGGGTGACCAGCGTTTTTGTTCTACCTCCCACTACGCCCTGCCTTACATCTCTGTCGTGTCATCACCTATCGCTCTCATAAAGGGTTGCGATATCACGCAGAGCGATGTTTTGCAGTCATGCAGAAGTACTGCACTCTGCACTGGAATCTCAATGAACCGATATTATTACAATTGTACTTAAAATGACAGTTTATGCAGTGTGATACTGTACTATTTTGGATAGACAAAACATCAAAGACATGTTTTATGTGGTTCATTAATGTATTAAGTACACTTAAACGGTGCAATTTCAGATTTAGTGAAAATTGACTCATAACAAGAGACAATTATACCCACTTTGACTTATGAAGAAAAAGAGCTTAGCTTCTTGTTGAGAGTGCTTTCACCAGGTGTGACTGATATGTTTCCATGGAAATTAATCTGCGTTTAAAGATGATGAACTGGTGACACCCGAACACTTTTACATTCAAAACATTGGCTCTGTCTTTAGCTACGCGGTTTTGCTTTCTGGAAGAATATATGCAATTAATAAGGTGTGGCCCTGCCTCATTAAGTAAATTAAAATTCAATTTCCAAGTGCAATGGTCTTTCTTTGTACTCGTTGGTAATTCACGATACAGAATTTGATGTCGATATTGGTTATCCAACTGAACATTGCAACATTTTTTTCCATGTTTGCTGTTAAGGAGACCGAACAGTAGAACAAAACAAATCGTTGCATCCCACAAATGTCTCCAATCAGATTTCCCGGGCATGCGCCCGATCTAGTCAGCCACCCATCCGAGCCAGCACAGTGCTTGCATGAGTGACTCTCATGCACAGGAGGTTACCATCGGCTGCTGCAGGACCCTGTGGTGGGGTGCAGAGGTCACAGTGCGCCCAAATCCCCTGTCAGCGTTGGACAACTATGGTCCCGTGTCTATGCTCCCCGCCGTAACCAACCCGCGGTGACGAGCGTGCTGAAGTATGGTCATTTAAAACAGGGGTCCCCAACCGCCGGGCCACGGACCGGTACCGGTCCGTGGCCTGTTAGGAACCGGGCCGCACTGCAGCAGGAGGTGAGAGCGGTGAGTCCGCACGTGGTCCGCCCCATTATTTTATTATTTACCACTTCCGTCCGCGCCTCTTTCCCGCACTGCGCACTCGTCTCAGTCACAGTGTTGGCATGAAGCCCACAAGCTCTAACCCCGGTAGCCAAGATGAGTAAAAAACAAACGTCGCTGGAGAGCTTCTTTGAAAAGGGGGAAAGACCCAATGATGGTCCGTGAAAAAATTGTCTTCCACGAAACCGTTCGCTGGTGCCAAAAAGGTTGGGGACCGCTGATTTAAAATAATAGCCCCCGCCGTGACCTGCGTAGCTTGGGGAGGCCCTCATCCGGCAGCGGACGTGCATGCACCACCAGGCGACAGCAAAGTTGCGCAATGACTCACCTCTGGTGCCGTAACGAGCCGCCTGCATTTTTGCAGGACATCTCAACGAGCTACATGAAGGATGTGAGCAAGCTGAACGACTTCGTCGGCCGCGCCACCGCCGAGCTGATCTGGCTCAACCAACACGAGGAGCGCGAGATCGCCTATGACTGGAGCGACCACAGCCTGCCCAATCTCGCTGCCAAGAAGGACTCCCACTCTGTGAGTGGCCCCGATGCGCGCGGCATCGTGGTTGTCCTGGGTGTAGAGCCGTGATGGGGGCAACTTGTGGCCCACGGAGAACCTCGCGGTGGCTTGTTTTAAGTGTGTGTGTCGAACTTCTTTCGCGCCGTGCGCAGCCAGCCCTGCTAATCGGAGATGCGGAGGAAGGACGACAAACTAAAAACTAAAAAGCATTTCTAAAGAAATTAATTTTTTATCTAGATTTTAAAGCGCATAGGTCCAGTGGCTTTCTAATATCAGAAGGAAGAGCATTCGACACTTTAATATATTTGCGCAATCTAACAAAAAAAACCCCTCTATTATGGATAAAAATATATTGTTAGATATTTGTCAATGACGCATCGGGTTCCCTCATCCGTGTTACTGCTTCAAGGGCGTTGTGCATATTGTGTTGAACTTCTTTCGCGCCGCACGTCGCCAGCCGTGCCGATCGGGAGGTGTGCGGAGTTGACGCTGTGATGTGCGTATCGAACCCGGCTAGGAGCTGCTCAAGGAGATGGAGAGGAAGGAGATAACCATCAACCGCATCCAGGGTCTGGGCAACCAGATGCTGCAGAACAACCACCCTGCCGTCGACAGCATCGAGGTGCCGCCATCTACCACCACCACTCGCCCAGCCTCCGCTGCACTGCAGCCACCACACACACACACAAAGACAAAGATCCCCCGTGTAGCCTTAACAGACTGTAGGGGCAAGTGCTGTTAGCGAGCACCTATGAAGGCCGGAACGGTACACGAGGGGGTGGGTGGCCAGCACCACGCCCGACCGCCTTTGTCTCCCCAGTGGCAATGTTTACACACCGCACCAGGTACTCATTTGAGGCTGAGTCGACCTAGGGGAGGCCCGGGACCGGTTCAGATAATCGTCACTGGTGTTGGCCGTGAGCGGGAATCGAACCCGGGTCGCCAGGTTCATAGCGCAGCGTAGTGCTAACCGCTACACTACCGCTCCCCACAACACCAGACACACACACACAGACAGACACACACACAGACACACACAGACAGCCTGAACCACGGCACGGCCCTGTAGCGTGACCTGGTTTAAAAGGAGAGAGGGGGGGGTGGATACAAACACTTTGGGGACACACGACACAGTCAATGTTAACGACGCTTCAACTTAATGTTAAACACTGAACGGAATCGGCAATGCTGTGATCTGCTTTATTCTATAGTGGTGTGTATTTTTGCCCTAGCTCGCACCCCCTGTGTGCATGAGGAACGGGTGTACGTGGTCACGGGTATTGGCTGAACTGGCGAACCTTGATGGAAAAAACCCACCGTTGGTGTTTATATTGTAGCAGCAGTTTTGACCTGACTCTGAGAATTGAGAATGGCGGCTGAACCTTCATGAGGAGGGTGGGAGGTGGGGGAGGTGGGGGGGGGTAGCTCTCCCCTCTCCAGCCCCCCCCCCCCCCCAGAACCCCCCAGGGCTGCCACTGCGTGAATGGAGGGGATGCATGTAGAGTAAGGCGAACCATCTGGGTGCACGTGATCAACCTGCCGTCGTTTGGTGGGGCAATTTCCCGAAACTCATGGACAATAGAGAACCGCATCGATGGGCGGTTGAAGCCCAATTTGTGGATTGAGCTCGAAAGTTTGACGCAGGCAAGGCAAATGCCGGACACCGATATTTTATCATTCACTCGGTGACCGATGTGGTTGCAAATATCTGAGATTGGTCCGATTGACCTGTAGGAGGCACAGACCATGCACTCCTGTCGATGCCATAGCCCACTCACGTGGCCTGGAGGTTCGCTGTGATCAGTGTTGTGGCCGGTGGTGTGTGTGCGGCCGTGCGTACGCGATGTGCTGCTGGTCAATGTTGTAAGCAGCGCAACCAAGGGGAACACTTTCGTATTAGCACGCTGCGACACCCGGCGAACCGAGTTCGGTTCCCGTTCATGGCCAACACCAGTGACGATTATATCACTCGGTCCTGGGCCTGGCTGAGGTCCAACTCAGCCTTAAATGAGTTCCTGGTGCTGTGTGGAAACATCGCCACTGGGGAGACAGAGGTGGCTGGGTGTGGTGTTGGCCACCCACCCCCTCGTGCGCCGTTGCCGGCCTTCATAGGTGCTCGCTAACAGCACTTGCCCCAACAGTCTGCTCAGGCTATACGGGGTTGGGGGGGGGTGTCTTTGCTGTTATGTGTCAGTATATATTTGTGTGTGTGGTTGTGCAGGCGTTCATGGGCGCTCTTCAGACCCAGTGGAGTTGGCTGTTGCAGCTCAGGCAATGTATCGAGGTGCATCTTCAAGAGAACACGACATATCAGCAGGTAAGAGCCAGCATCGAAGTGTGCCATTGTAACAGTAAAAATACGTAGAATAACAGTGTTCATTTAGTCCAATTCTGGATGAAGGCATCGTCATGCCGAATCGATCCTGAGGATTATTTGACCATACTTCACCACACTGGTCAGTGCGGGTTGGTGGTAGGGCAGGGAGGGAAGCTCATGATGAGATCATGTGTCACTCACGACTGATGTTAGCCATGCCCAGCAATCAATTACGTAATTTTAGATACCCGATTTACATAACTGTAATTGGGTATCTTAAATGCACGAATTCAAGCATCAGTTGTTTTTGAATGATGTTACTGAGCAGCGTCCACTTTTGAGTTCACGTCTCTCTGCTGAATCAGCTCTTTCACGCGAAAGCCAAGTACGTGCCTTCTGTTTAGTTGTGCGTGGCTAATGAAGCAGTGGCTAATGCACTCTGCACTATGAACCCAGTCACATGGGCACCATTTCCAGCCACGGCAAACATCAGTGGCGGGCGATATCTCAAACGGTTCTGACCCATGCCTCACCACTCTTCACCAACCACCCATTGACCCCCCCCCCCCCCCATGACTAACACACAAAGAGGAGGTTTTCATCCAGCAGTGGATCTACAAAGGCTGTAAATAATTAATTATCATACTGCACATTATAGACGACTAACACATTGCTTATTCTTTGGGTCTTTCGTTAAAGCCACGTAGATATAAAAAAATATAAAATATATAAATAATTGTTATTTTTATTATTTTATAAAAATAATCATTATTATTTTTTCTATCTACGTGGCTTTACCGAAAGACCCAAAGAATATTCATTCCTGCAGTCACGAAAGCTTCAAGTCAAGGTTTACATTGCTTTCTTATTAACAGAGAAGCAATCTGCACACAAATGACAATTATTATACACTATTTGGGCTTAGTTCCTACAATTGTCACACTTACTGAACGCAAAGCCACGTGTGCATTCTCATTTGCGTACCAGGCGTACTGAAATGTACCAAGTGGATAACTCTCCATGCCCGAGCGGAGTTGAATGAAAACCCAACGGCCTGTGCTTGACAAGGCTATGTATGACCTCCGGTCGCTCCAACGATTTTCGTTTAGGAAATAATATTCATGGCGTTCATCGGATGGGCTCTTACCACCTTGTCATTACAATAGTGCTCCCGTGTGTGCTGCTGATCCTGCCTTGGGATGGCAGTTCTTTAGCGATGCCAAGGAAGCAGAGCTGTTCCTCAAGAGGCAGCACGAGGTCATTCGCCAGAAGTACACGTGCGACAAGCACGCAAGCCTGGAGCACGTGGAGCAGCTGCTGCAGAATCTGGCGGTGAGAGCAAGAGCAGCAGAGAGACATTTTTCACGACACAAATTCACATCGAGCGACACGAAAAGGGCCGCTTGCTGACAGAACAAGCCGCGGAAAAAATGTTTTCGTTCGTTTTTGTTCCCCCAGTTACATTTCAATGGACCCACAACTACATAGGGTGCCGTGGTGGCAAGATGTTAACTCCCTCCCCTCGTATGCAGGAGGTCGTGCGTTTGATCTCCACCCAGACGCCTGTATTTTTGGAGTTTGCGTGTTCTCCCTGTGGTCGTGTGCTAAAGATTTACACATTATATGCCACTTTTCTTGAGCTATCATTTGTGGTCAAGTCAATTCTGAAAAAAAGAGCTATATAGCTCAGTGAGCCTTACCTAGTAAAAAAATATATATTTACCGTTGTTTAGTAAATTGCCCAGATTGCGCTGACTCACGTCAGTGCCCCGAGATCAAGCATTTCGTGTGGGTAATGGGGGTGAGACGACCATACTTCACCACGATGGCCAGGGAGGGCTGGTTAAGGCAATGAGCATATCTGTTAGAGAACAGCACGGTACGAAACAATCTCTTTTGCTTCACTAACCCTCCGCTACACACAAAGTGACCCTTGCAGCCACCTCTACCACCTGGTAGTACAGCGCGGCGGCCACCCATCCCTAAGCGGCAACGCAGCAATCGACCCTTCACAGCTGCTGAGATCTGCCGAGGGACTCATTCCGTGGCGCTTCGTTCGCAGGCTCGCTGCTCACGTGCAGTTTGGCCGGCCCCCTCTTCCACGTCGCGGAGCCTCTCGCGTTCTGCTGTTGTTTGTTTGTCGCCACAGGAGGAGAGAGACTCCTACATGAATTACAGACAAACGGTGGCCAACGTCGCCGGCCGAGCCAAAACCATCGTCCAGCTGAAGCCGCGTCACCCAGACCACCCCGTGCACAGCGCCCTGCCCATCAAGGCCCTGTGCGAATACAAACTCGACGAGGTAGGGGTGAGGGGGTGGGGACTCATCCTCTGGCCACGTTTTTTCCCACCTGAATAAGCCGTGAAGCTACGCGGTGGGGGGGGGGGGGGGGGGGTTTCCCTCGCTGTCCAGCGGGGGCGGGCCCGTGTACGTTCACGTAATAAATCCCTGACACGTATGTCTCTGTGAGTTTATATTCGATGTGAATTCGAGATCGCGAGCGCTGAGGTTGCAACTTCTGTTGGTCGTGCGGACGCCATGCGGTTCCGCAACTTTGGCCAAGTATGAAACGGTGTGGAACTGTGTGTGTGTGAAACTAGAAGGGAGAAAGAAGGGAAGGTAGGTGAGGATGGGTGGCTGGGGGGGGAGTCGGGAGCGGGGGGGGTCCCGAAGATGCTCCCAGCTCATCACAATTGGTATTGAAAGAGACCAGCCATCTGATACCAGACCAGAAAGAGTGTATGTATGTATGCGTATAGATTCAAGCAAATGAACATTGATTGTGCTCATCATGCAATATAGGCTCAGAGGAGCCTTTTGCGCAATTTCATCACCGTAGCTGCGTATACAGGGGCTCATCATTGTACTGGCTACAGTTGTTGGGTTCAAAGCGGAATGATGGACAAACACATTTAATTCGATCATTATTGCAGTATAATTATAATGCTTTGAAAAAAACACATTGCAATTCAGCCGTCTGTCGCTTAATTACTCGGGGTCAGGTCATGCTCTTTCAAAAAGCAAACCTGCATGTTGAGGAGGATACAGCGCGCCCTCTATTTGCGTTGTTTCACTGCAACATCGCCAACGCATTCGGGAACGTAAATCGATTTACAAGGCGTCGATTCGCATACACCGTTGTTTTGGGAGATTTAAAGGAGAGATCGCAGTACAGTCGAACTCACGTTTAACGCGAATTTACGTAACGCGAATTTGAAAGAGCGCGTTAGATTACCGTATTTTCCCGCATATAACCCGCGGGGTATACCACTTTTTACAAAGAAAACAAGACCCTGCGGGGTATATAGAGGTGCGGGCTATCTGAAATTTGTTTTACACAAAACGCAATTTTGGCGGGGTATATGCGTAGGCGGGCTATATACGGGGAAAATACGGAAATTTACAGTTATTGTTGGCATGCGCGCGCTATTGTTAAAATAACGGGGCCCCAGCGCGTTGACCCTGGTGTACGGAACGCGCTTGCGAGCTCATCGTTAGTCAGGCGGCAAAGTTGGGTGGCGATGCCTGAGGTGCAGTACAACCAACACGAGCGTGGCCAGCAGCAGCATCCACTTCTCGCGCCCCATTTTGAAGATCTTGCCCGCGTGAACTTTGTCTTGTGCACACGTTGTGCCGACTGATATGTCCGGTAAGCATCTGAAATAGGCTATTTAGTAAAGGTTTGTCACGTGAACAAAACATGCCAATTAGCTATGACTTCAGCGCATCGGTGCGATGGTGAGCAAACCCACAACGTTTACGATCGAGTGTGACGTTCCGTCGGCGATTACAACCAGCTTCATCAGTGTGTGATCGGCTTCAAATTGTTATTACTATCCGCTTATTGTTGTTTGTTGTTGTTTACATTGCTTCAGATGATGATTGCCCCTGGCGATCAGTGCATTCTGATGGACAACTCTCGCCGCGTCACCTGGAGGGTGATCGGGCCGGGCGGTCGCGAGATCTCGCCCCTGTCACTGTGCTTCATGATCCCGCCCATCAACAAGGATGCTCTGGAGATGGCGAACAGGTACAGGAAGCTACAAAGATTTCACCCCCCCCCCCCCCCCCCCCCCCCCCCGTGTAGCCTGAGACTGTAGGGGGCAAGCGATTTTAGCGAGCATCTGTGAAGGTCGGCACGGCACGCGAGGGGGTGGGTGGTCTGCACCACGAGTGGCGATGTTTACACACTTGACCAGCTACTCATTTGAGGCCGAGTCAGAATCAGAACCTTTATATTTAGACTGCAAGGAATCCGATGACTTATGATGCTCTTTTTCACAGATGTCCAGTAGGGGCTCCTTGAACTCTTCTGTGGGCTGCTTGCAAGAGCAAGCATTGTGCAAACAAAAGCAACAGTCCTGCTGCAGTGTACTGTTGAAGATCACTCAAGTTGCATGCTTAAAAAAGAGTACAAGGAATATATTACCATAATTACCCCACAGTTACAATTATTTAGTAATGGATGATACCATTATTGACGCACGATTGAAGTTCATTGACATTTTATAAAGCTCCGTGGCACATTATTGATTTGAAGCTTTCGTGACTGCAGGAATCCATACTCTTTGGTTGACGTAGGTAGAAAAAAATATATATCACGACGTTTCAATCACAACACAAGCGGTTGTCCTCATGCGGAAAAAATAATCCAGCAGTGGAACTGCTGAACTCGGAAGAACACAGCGAGAGAGCTGTTACAACAAGAGGTTATATATGTTGGTGAAAGGCAAGCAGGCGGGGTCTGAGCTGGAAAGGAATTCCATCCCCGCACGCAAGCACGTCAGTTGTGTTAATGGGGGAGATTAAGGAGAGAGAGATTAGGGAGAGAGGCACATTGCAATAATACCTTATAATGACATCTCATCAAGGTGCTGTTATTACACAGCTGGATTGTGAGAGACAGTGCCAGCTTGTGACACAACCGCACTCTACAATAACTGGCGCCAAACTGTGCCACGCCCTCCTGCATGGCCTTGTGGGAGCCTCGGTACCAATATAGTTATTTTATTTTTTCTTACAATTCCTTTCCAATGAAGCAAGTGTACGATGACGTACACGTACGTCATCAGAACGGGAAAGGGTTAATCATAATTCTATGTCTTAGCAAACCCTCTTTGTCGATTGATTAAATTGTATTGTGCAGGATTGACCACCTCTACGAAGGCATCCTCACTCTGTGGTGCCAAGTAACCATCAGCCTCAAGTGTCTGCTGTACTGGCGCTACATGCTGAGAGACATGGGCAAGATCTACTCGTGGAGCGTGCAGAAGGTGCGTTCACAGTTCCCTCTCAGGGGCTTTGACCTCACAGTGGACAGTAAAGATGCTGTGACGTCATTCACAAGGGTAGGCCGTTATGCGTCAGAATCGTGGTTCAAACTTTGCCAGGTTGGGATTCTACGCAGCAATCATCAAAACTTGGTAGGACCCTCCTAAAACAGAATATTGAAATTTCCCTGGGTAAAAAGCCTTATAATAATCATTAAACAAAAACAGTAAATACGTTTCATTCACGTCGACAGCCTTGAATTCGCGTGAGTGTTGCTTGCTTGTTTTTTATACTTTGCACTCCTATCGTGTTTTTGAATTGTCTGTGGTAACTTTCTGACCTCCTGCCCCCTACTGGACATCCCGGAAAAAAGAGCTTCATAGCTCGTCGGGTTCTTCCTCGAGTATAAATAAATAATCTGATTCCGGTTTCTGTTACGCATCTCGACCGCAGATGCCGTCGCACAACGAGTACTGCCAGCTCATCGCGAGCCTCGAGTCGCACTACGAGAACTTCGTCAAGTTCAGCCAGGACGCCCAGATGTTTGACATCAACGACATCAACCAGATCAAGGTGGAGTTCGGTCAGGCGCTCAAGTACGCGAGCGACGTGGACCCGCAGACGTGCGTCTCGCAGACGGCACAGCGCCAGACGGTGCCAGGTACGTCCCTGCTCGCCTTCGTGTCGTCGTCACGGTGGAGCTCCGGGTCATCCTCGCAGCGGATTTTGGCTGCTCGCCATCGGGCAAAGGCCGTCGCCGCGTCGCGCGCTTTCAGATGCGCTTCTGCGGCCGTCTGGAACGCCCTTCCTTCCGATATTAGGAAGATGCTGTAGCAATGCACATTTAAATCTAGATTGAAAACTAATTTCTTTTTTTGAACTGTTTGTTGCGTTTAGTCCGTTGTCCTTCCCTCGCGCCTCTGATTAGCACGGTTGGCTACGTACGGTGTGAAAGAAGTTCAACATGCACACACACACACACGTTTCGTCGCAGGTTTACAACACTTTATATATTTAAATGTGGAGACAACGTGTAAATGCTCCCCAACAATGCATGATGAGTTTGTACACAAATATTGCTTTTTTTGCGTAGAAAATAGCCCAATTGCTTAGCTGGAGTGCGCTTGCCAATAACACTGGGTGATCCACAATACAGGTTTTATGGGTTAGATCGCGTAAATAAGCCAAAGAAACCTGTATTATGGATATTGGTCGCGAAAGCGTAGGTGTTAAACTAACTTTGGGTTTCTCGGCAGCATTCATTTAAGAAATCTGGCTCCGCTGATGGGATTCAAAATGTCAAACTGGTCAAGATTTTGCTTGCTTCAACCGACGCTGCTGGTTAATATTGGTTTGGAAAGCTAATTGGCTGACGGACTAAAAGTACTTCAATCCAGCAACTCTCAATGACTGACACAACACAGGGAGGCCTTCAGCCAGCAGTGGATTCATTTAGAGCATGTTGACCAAATAGGGGGGAGGGGGGGTGGGTGGTGGAACTGGGGGGGGGGGGGGGGTGTTAGGGCTGGACAGATATCACTTGCCACCTATGTTAGTCCCAGCCAGGAATCAAACTCAGGTCACCAGCAGAGAACCTGCACCACCGTCCTCCACTGTGGATTGTCTCCTGGCACTCATCTTCCCACATGACATACACTCACGAATGGAGTTGGCCAAATTTACCAAAGTGCAGGACCCTCCTGAAAATGAGTCTGGGGACTCAGAGAGACCTTTCTGGTTAAATAAATAATTAAACTATAAACGGTAAAGGTGCAACCCCGAAATTACTTGCTCACACCGCCGCTGGCAGAAGGGCCTTCTTTAGTGGGCGCTCTAGACAGCCCCTCCAGGAGATGTTTGGCCTTCTCTTCCACGCTGACCAGATGTTTTGGATGAGGTGGAAGCCCAAACTTCACGCCACCACACACGACCTGCAGATCGACCAACTGTCACGTACCCATTTCTACTGCTGCATCAGCAGAGGCGGGGAGATTTAAGAAACCTGCCCCTATTACTTAAACTAGCCCGCCGGGGTATCCAATCAAACCAGCAGCCTCTGGCTTGCAAGTTCCATGTGCTGACCATTCAATCGTGGCACCATCCCTTGTATAAATGGTATTGTGTTATAAGAATTATTATTATTATTATTGAAGATGAAGGTCTAAGAGGTAGGAGTATTCCATGACCGTTGAGCCATCTCTGCTTGCAGTGCTGGTGACGGAGCCAACCAATACTCTGCCACCGCCACCTCCTCCGGCACCTCTGCGTGACATCGTCCCGGAGGTGCAGCTCCTGCTGCAGCATTTGCAGCGCATAGAGGAGACGGTCGGACAGCTGTCGAGCACGCCGCTGCCTGGCTACAACCTCTCCCGCGAGGTCGACGACAAGATGTCCCAGTACCAGGTTTGCCACCTCCCTGTCGATCGTCGCTCCGACTGCCCGTCCACTCCTCATCGGGCCCTGCCTCCTGCTTGAACTGCGTAAACAGGGCAACCATTTGGTCTTGTTACATGGCAAAAGCTTGGGCCAATTTTGATTCCGCTCGCCATTGACCATCTGGAAATCTAACAGGGTTCGTTTCGCAAAGATGCTACCACAGGTTACAAACTAGTAGATTGTGCAAGGATGGCAACACTGATCGTGTAATAGAACAGATCAATAGACCTCAAATGTTGTCTTGTTCATGTTAACAAATACTGCTGGGCTGCCACATGTTATTGGTGAGTGTTCTTCCTCATGCAGTAACTAACCTGCGATCAAAACCGATCCAGATTTAGCTTGTGCAAACAAATGCTGCTGGATAATATTGGCTTGGAAAGGGTGTACGCTTATGGCCGAAGAAAATGTCATTCATATTTATTTATTTTGTAAGAAGTCGAGAACTGACACTTCCCAACATCCGTTGCTTCGGACATTTGTGAAAAAAACTACTGGACGTCTGTAAAAAAAAAAAACGGGTACAAGTACATATTCTGATTCTTATTTTTTCGCGCCAGAACGTGTGCTCCGAGGTGGAGGTGGCGCGCTCCAGGCTGGAGCGCCTGTACCAGTACCCGCCCGACTCGCTGGGCTATTCAGAGCTCAGCAGTGCCAGCCAGAGGCTGGAACAGTTGATGCGCCTTCTGGAGAAATGCCACCAGCAGTGGGTGTCACTTCGCACGTCGCGCGCGTCCACACGCACACGCGGGCCACGGGGCGGCAGGGGCCCGGCTAGAGTGGGGCAATTGCTGCAAAAAACCTGAGCCAGTGCCGATTTAAAGCTTTTCGTGACTGCAAGGATTCATCTCACTTTGGTTCTTTCGGTAAAAGTCACATTGAAGCTCTGTCGTCCCGACAGTTTTGTTCCTTCACCTGAAGAAGGCTACTTGTGTTGTGGCCGAAACGTCGTGAGAATTTTATTGTCTTATTTTATTATTTTATTCTCATTTTTCTACGTGACTTTACCGAAAGAACCAAAGAACTGAGCCAGTGCCGAATGTGATTACTAAGGCTATCATTTTGCTGTGGTAATTTTTAGTAAAATTCACGGCCGAGGAGCAGGAAAAAACCCATCAGGGAAAGGTCACGGAGGGACCCCCCCCCCCACCCCCACCCCAATGTACGGCATTTTAGATAGGGGGGGGGGGGCGAGGAAGCGCCATCTCCACGATTTCACAAACTTTCTTTAAATTTACCTTACGCGTTAACACCGTGAACTCCATGTCACAATCGCCTGCCCATTAGAAGCCACTGGATCTATGCAATTTTAATTCGTTATTGAAAACTAATTTCTTTGGAACTGCTTTTTGGTGTTTAGTTTGCTGTCCTTTCCACGCACCTCCGATTAGCACGGTTGGCTACGTACAGCTCAAAAGAAGTTTGACATACATATATACATACATATGGCCATCAGCATTTATATGATGCCATGGTGACGAGGTGTCAACTACCTCTCCTGGTATACAGGCGATTGTGGGTTCGATCCCGATTCTGACACCTGTAAGTTTGGAGTTTCCATGTTCTCCTCGTGGTCGTGTGGATTTTGCACCCGGTCCTCCGCTTTTTTCCCTGCACGTTTAGAAACGTGTTTGGAATCGTGCACAGATGTCACATAAGTAGGTTTATATCAGCATGTGTGTCTGACACGTGCGCGCGTGATGCGGTACTGTGTTCTTACGCCAGACTCAAGGGACTGGAGGGGCTGGTTCGCTGCCTGGGGGAGGTGGAATCGCAGGTGGAGCTGTTTGAAGGCCGCCTTGTGGAGAGCGTCTGTGTCCCCGTCAGCCACCCCGGCATTCAGTCGCACGTCACCCTGCTCAAGGTGCCGCCACTGGCCCCGGGCTTTCCCCTCTGATGCGTACTCACGGCGACAACAAAAACAACAACCCACCGCACGCGTCAGTAGAGCTGCCGTTTGTCACAGAGATGTATAATTTGCCTGCCGCTTCTGGAAGTGGCCCTTCTTCAGAGCAAACGAGAGAAAGCGGAGAGATTCGACTGGGAAGTGCTACCCTCCGCCCGCGTGTATGTTCAACAATCACTTGATGATTATTTCAGAAGCAGTTTTATGATGTCTTCTTCTGCGGGTCGTTCCCGAATGGTGGTGGAAGCAATTGCTCTCATGATGTGATGCCAATAGCACAATCGGTGGGGGGGGGGGGGTGGAAATAAATACAAATAAATGCCAATGTTCTGAAATAAAAAAAACAGTGATGTTTCTTCACGACGACGGAGACAGAGCAGCCTTTTTTTACCAATGCTATGACAACCACCAGAGAAATGCCGCGTTACAGTCGAGACGCACGAAACACGCAGAGCACTGCGGACTCACGCGTGACGACAGACCCACCCACCCACGGGCGTTTCTCCCGCGCGCAGCAATGGGTCTCCGAGGTGGAGCAGAAGGGCTGGCTGCTGCAGCGCCTGCAGGAGGAGCTGCAGAAGGCCGGGGACTTGCTGGGCGGCGGCGGCGGCGGCGGCTGCGGGTGGCCTTCTAAGCAGGGCTCGCACCGCGGTGGCCAGGAGCTGGGCCGACACGTGCGCAGGGCCGAAGAGCTGACCCAACGTTGGCACATGCTCCACGAGCAGATGGGAGTCAGGTGAGGCCACGCCAACCAACATTGGAGGTGGCTCGCAGCTGGCTGTCAGCGTAAGGCGGAGTTTGGTGGGGGGGGGGAGGCGAATTTCCCTACCCGCCTCCAACCCCCCCCCGCCTCCAACCCCCACCCCCCCAAACTGGACACCTTCATGATTTTTTTCAGTAGTTTACAATTAAGATTTAAAAAAATTGCATTAACTGTATTCACCCGCGATTGCGAATGTGAGGCACAAAGCGAACCCCCTGCCACCCTGCCCAAGTATAGAAGTCAAACTCCGCCTATGGCTATCAGGGGAAAACGCATTTGCGTAACTAGTCGCTTTTGCTCTGGTTTGTATCTCCAAGTGTTAGGGAGCCCTTGCAAGGATAGTTTTAAATGGGGTGTATCCAGGGCCGGATCAAGGCGTGGGGGGCTTTAGGGGCTGTAGCCCAGGGGCCTCCGCCAGCTTGGAGGGCCTCCAGAGATGAAGTGAAAAAAAAAATTCATTTGTGAATGCTGAATTTTATTTGTTGTTAGCCTTGTAAAAATAATTTTTATTTGACTTTGTTTTCCTTTTTACAAATATAACTGGGGGCCTCACAGTACCCCTGGGTGTATCTCATGGGGTGTGTCCTGCATGGCAACGCAGCATTACCCCGCAAGGTTGGTTAACATTGGGTAATCTTTGTGAGATTCGTAGCGCCCCCTCGTTGCGGACAGATGGATTGATGGACAGACAGAGCTAATGCATGGACGCTTTCAACCTTAGATGAAAAAGCATAAAAAATGCACTGCTGATGAAAATAACACCTCTTACCTGATAGCCGAATAGAAAAAATACTTGAGTTATTAATTCCACGATCAGAAATTCAAACGACTGTCATATTGTAAAAAAAAAAAATTAGCAGCGACCATTCAATTGACAGAAAACAACAATGTGTTCGCTCAAACACGGGGAAACTCTCCGCATAAGCGGTCCGCGATAAACAAAAACAAACTCTTTGGTTATTTCGGTAAAGTCACGTAGGTAGAAAAATTTAACGAAACAATAAATAATACATCACGACGTTTCGATCGCAACACAAGCGGTCGTCCTCAGGCGCGACAAAAATAACCCAGCAGTGGAACTGCTGAACCAGCGCAAATCACAAAACATATTTTTTCCGGACGCCTAAAAAAACCCCACTTTGCCGCACCACCAAATTCGGCAAAACCTCGTCGCGAAATCTCCCTCCGCCTCTCCCCAGGCTGCGGGACATGGAGCGCCTGAGCGCGCGGCTCCTGCCCACCTTCCAGGACAGGCAGCGCTCGCTGAGCCGCTGGCTCGACGATGCGTCGGCCCGCAGCGACCGCCTGCAGCTGCCGGCCGCTGCGAGCGACGCGGCCTCGCTGGACGAGCGCATCCGGCAGCAGACGGTAGGAGCGGCGGGGGAAGCGTTCGCTGGAGGGGAGGGAAGGTGTGGGGACCGACCCCACCAGTTGACCCCACCACCCCGCCCCCCTACGCCGAGCGTCGGTGGCGGCGCTCGGTGTGACTTAGGGCTCCCAATCGGCTCAATGGGTCCCGGATTAATGGCAGAAGATAGGGGGGAGGTGGGGGGTGGGGTGGGCCCATCAAATATCAGCTTTATGTTACAGTCCTTATAAACGTAGCAAGATAATTAACTTAAACGAGGCCATTAATCTCTCTCATCTCTCACGTGTCCCCAGCTCTGTTCTCTCATGCCATGTCTCCATTGTGATCTACATTTTCACGCACCTCACAACATCTACTTTCTCTCGCCTCTGTATGTATTTTTGTTTCCGCCGTCTTTCTACGGTTTTTGTAAATTGAAAAGGGGGCGTCCTCCAAAATCTATCTTGCTCGAGGTCCTCACTGCTCCAGCACCACCGCTGTGTGCAGCGTGGAAGGTAACCTTCGTACCCAGTCAACATTCCGTCGCCGATGACCAAGCCGCTCGGAATGCACCCCAATCTCATCGGCATGTCGGAAGCTGAGCGGGATCGAGCTCGCTCGGTGCTTCGATGGGTGATCACCGTGCTAACAAGAGGTTGTTGCAGGCCGCCGCGTGGCTATTTGGCGCTCAGCAGCAGCCAGTGCAACAAAATGCATTGTTGTACTGTACTCTATATGCTCCCGCGTCTAAGCTTCCTCGCTGTATTAAATCGGCACTGACCACGTGGAGAAGTGTGGTTAAATAATCCCCACGACCTGCACAGCTTAAGTACATAGGCACTCATCCAGCAGTGGATTAACAAATGGATTGTACGATTAGAATTCAACGTAAACTCACGGTTCTATTTACTGACGATTTGTAATAGTTGCAGCACATGCGCTGAGTGAACAACCAATGGTGATTTGAGAGGTGAGGGTTCACGCTGACAAAATAGCGTGTAAGCGTTTGATTTAGAACTCGAGGTTTCGTGAAGAAGTCACAGTCGTCGATTTGTGTTGGTATCCTTCTGCTGCGTTGACGCGTGGCGTGTTAACGGAACGACGCGAACGTTCCCCCGTCAGGCGCTGGTGAGTGATCTGGAACGCAACAAAGCCAAAGTGGATGAATTGCACACGTTCTCAGAAGACTGCATCAAGTCTATCAAGGTAATGCATCCCGTTTTTGTGTTGCATTCGAATCGTTAAGAGCGCCCAACCCGCGGTCGATTTCATCGTTCAATTTGGCCGCTCTGCACGTAATCGTTACGTTTTACTTTGCCACACCAACTCTTTCGTTGATAACATTTCAATAAATGTTCTACGACTATAAGAAAAGTGTAATCACAACCATTGCTGCAGTTATCGTGGTGTTATCAGTAGTTATTCTTTAAAATTATTATGAATGTATGCAATGATTGTACACGAATCACAGCAGGATGCTGAATTGCTGAGATTTTTTATATGGTGTGATAAATTTATTATTTTTGCTGCTCGCCTTGAATGAGGGCTTTGTGGCGTGCTATTTCCTTAAAATCTGGGTTTAGTTTAACGTAGCAAAGAGTGCGGCAAATTGCTTCACGTAATGGCAAAGAGCTCAAGTTAATGCCGTGCCTGGACCATCCTCACGGCTGCTATCCACTGATTCGTCGCGGATTTGGTCACGAGTCATTACAAGCCCCCAGTACGCACTGGGATTGCTCACACTGTCCTCCTATGGATGTAATAAAAGAACTGACGTATTTATTTGACCATTCAGTGACAGTCCGTTCTCCTATAATGTCACGTGTTTTCATAAGGCGAATTGGCTATAACTGAAACGAATGTATATGGGAAGATTTTATAACACGGGTGCGAATTGGATATAACGCAATCGAGCAAACGTCACTACGTCGCGCGAGCAGGAATAAGCGGTTGCACGGCTGCCTGAGCATAGCATTGCACAAGGCGGGATGCTGCTGGATGCTTCTCGATGTTGCCCACGCGCCTCAGTCTCTGTTCAACCTGCATACCCATCTCCCGCGCTATCGGGGACTGTGCTTTATCCTGTATTATATATTTTTCATTCATTATAACGCGATTTTTCCATTGGGAACGCAACTACCGCGCTATAGGAGAACAGGCTGCGTTTTCTAAATGCACGACATGATTTAGCGAGCCTGGCACAATTTTCGCGCGGCGCCTGCGTTCTCACCGACGCGTCTTCGGGGCTGTGCCGCCCCGCGTGCCGCTCCGAGTGCAGGAGTATGAAGGCCACCTGGCCGCCTACCGTAACGTCGTGCAGAAGTTCCAGAACAAACACCTGGAGAAGCAGCACGAGTGCATGGCTGACACCATCGAGAAGGAGGTGGGACACCGATCGCATCTGATTTGCTATTTGTTGCCCCTTCCACCCCCCCCCCACCCCACCCCCAAATTCCATGGCTGTTGTGCAATTGAGAGTGTTTTTTGGGACTCTTGTTGTTGTTTTGCTGCCTTGCCCAAGCTTGCATTAATTTTATTTGGGTCTTTCGGTAAAGTAGATAGTGGTGTTGCGATCGAAACGTCGTAGTTTTTTGTTATTTTATTTGAACCTATCTACGTGACTTTACCGAAAAACCCAAAGAATACGAAATCCTGCAGTCATGAAAGCTTTAAGTCAAGATTCTTGCATTAATTGTTGAAAAATTGTCCGGAATTGATAAACGCTGGCAATTTGTACTTACATACTTTTGTTTTTCAATGTTAGTGACTTGCTTACCTTCCCTATACTTTCGCACTCCCTATCGGTTTTTTGTGTATTGTGTTTGTTGTTGTTGTAACTTTCTGACCACCGTGCCCCTCCTGCTGGACATCTGTGGGAGAAAAAACTCCGTAGCTCATTGGATTCCTCCTGCAGTCTAAAATAGAGATTCTCACTCTGATTGTGATGTGGGAAGAGATGATGGAGCAGTCAAAATCGAGATTCTCACTCTGATTGTGATGTGGGAAGAGATGATGGAGCAGTCTAAATAGAGATTCTCATTCTGATTGTGATGTGGGAAGAGATGATGGAGCAGTCTAAATCGAAATTCTCACTCTGATTGTGATGTGGGAAGAGATGATGGAGCAGTCTAAATCGAGATTTTCACTCTGATTGTGATGTGGAAAGAGATGATGGAGCAGTCTAAATAGAGATTCTCATTCTGATTGTGACGTGGGAAGAGATGATGGAGCAGTCTAAATAGAGATTCTCATTCTGATTGTGATGTGGGAAGAGATGATGGAGCAGTCTAAATCGAGATTCTCACTCTGATTGTGATGTGGAAAGAGATGATGGAGCAGTCTAAATAGAGATTCTCATTCTGATTGTGATGTGGGAAGAGATGATGGAGCAGTCTAAATAGAGATTCTCACTCTGATTGTGATGTGGGAAGAGATGATGGAGCAGTCTAAATCGAGATTCTCATTCTGATTGTGATGTGGGAAGAGATGATGGAGCAGTCTAAATCGAGATTCTCACTCTGATTGTGATGTGGGAAGAGATGATGGAGCAGTCTAAATAGAGATTCTCATTCTGATTGTGATGTGGGAAGAGATGATGGAGCAGTCTAAATCGAAATTCTCACTCTGATTGTGATGTGGGAAGAGATGATGGAGCAGTCTAAATCGAGATTTTCACTCTGATTGTGATGTGGAAAGAGATGATGGAGCAGTCTAAATAGAGATTCTCATTCTGATTGTGATGTGGGAAGAGATGTTGGAGCAGTCTAAATCGAGATTCTCATTCTGATTGTGATGTGGGAAGAGATGATGGAGCAGTCAAAATCGAGATTCTCACTCTGATTGTGATGTGGAAAGAGATGATGGAGCAGTCTAAATCGAGATTCTCAATCTGATTGTGATGTGGGAAGAGATGATGGAGCAGTCTAAATAGAGATTCTCATTCTGATTGTGACGTGGGAAGAGATGATGGAGCAGTCTAAATAGAGATTCTCATTCTGATTGTGATGTGGGAAGAGATGATGGAGCAGTCTAAATCGAGATTCTCACTCTGATTGTGATGTGGAAAGAGATGATGGAGCAGTCTAAATAGAGATTCTCATTCTGATTGTGATGTGGGAAGAGATGATGGAGCAGTCTAAATAGAGATTCTCACTCTGATTGTGATGTGGGAAGAGATGATGGAGCAGTCTAAATCGAGATTCTCATTCTGATTGTGACGTGGGAAGAGATGATGGAGCAGTCTAAATAGAGATTCTCATTCTGATTGTGATGTGGGAAGAGATGATGGAGCAGTCTAAATCGAGATTCTCACTCTGATTGTGATGTGGGAAGAGATGATGGAGCAGTCTAAATAGAGATTCTCATTCTGATTGTGATGTGGGAAGAGATGATGGAGCAGTCTAAATCGAGATTCTCATTCTGATTGTGATGTGGGAAGAGATGATGGAGCAGTCTAAATCGAGATTCTCACTCTGATTGTGACGTGGGAAGAGATGATGGAGCAGTCTTAATAGAGATTCTCACTCTGATTGTGATGTGGGAAGAGATGATGGAGCAGTCTAAATCGAGATTCTCACTCTGATTTTGACGTGGGAAGAGATGATGGAGCAGTCTAAATCGAGATTCTCACTCTGATTGTGATGTGGGAAGAGATGATGGAGCAGTCTAAATCGAGATTTTCACTCTGATTGTGATGTGGGAAGAGATGATGGAGCAGTCTAAATCGAGATTCTCATTTTCATTGTGATGTGGGAAGAGATGATGGAGCAGTCTAAATCGAGATTCTCACTCTGATTGTGATATGGGAAGAGATGATGGAGCAGTCTAAATAGAGATTCTCATTCTGATTGTGATGTGGGAAGAGATGATGGAGCAGTCTAAAAAGAGATTCTCACTCTGATTGTGATGTGGGAAGAGATGATGGAGCAGTCTAAATAGAGATTCTCACTCTGATTGTGACGTGGGAAGAGATGACGGAGCAGTCTAAATAAAGATTCTCACTCTGATTGTGATGTGGGAAGAGATGATGGAGCAGTCTAAATCGAGATTCTCATTCTGATTGTGATGTGGGAAGAGATGATGGAGCAGTCTAAATAGAGATTCTCATTCTGATTGTGACGTGGGAAGAGATGATGGAGCAGTCTAAATAGAGATTCTCACTCTGATTGTGATGTGGGAAGAGATGATGGAGCAGGCCCATAATGTCGGGGTTGGGGGGGATGGAGGGGGCAGGACCCCCCCCACCTTTTTTTTTTAGCATTGCAATTGTATTGTGCCCCCTTCCCTCGCCCCTTTTTAAACAGTATTGTGAACATGTCACATCAGTGAATTTTGATGAATCAGTTTTGGGGAGGAAATGTTCCTTTTGCTTCAGTGATCCAACATGTGTATTCATATCCTGTATGTATGCATGTTGAACTTCTTTGGCACAGTACGTAGCCAACCGTGCTAATCGGAGGCGCGGGGGGAAGGACAACAATCTAAACATAAAAAGCAGTTCTAAAGAAATTAGTTTTCTATCTAGATTATTTTAAAGTGCATAGCTCCAGTGGTGTCCTAATGTCGGAAGGAAGAGCGTTCCAGACGGCAGCAGAAGCACATCTGATAGTTGGTCAAAAATAATATCCGATACTTGTATATGGCAGCAATATGTTCAGGAGCTAAATGCCAATGTCGAGGTCTGCTTGCCACAATGAGAGGGCTTCATGAAAGAGTTTGTGTCGTGTTGCTGTTCCTCCCCCTCCTCCTCCGTTGAAGCAGCGCAGACTATAGTGGTTTAATATACGGTCGATAATTTGGGTTACGTGGCCACAATCACACTACTGTGGCTTGTGTCTTTTATTTTCCATTCATGAAGGAGATGTGGACTCTGGATGTTCTGATGTAGCCGATGGTTCCGCCAGTGTCTTCTGGGACAAATGCCAAAGCCAGGAGGTGTGATGATATGGGTGACGCAGTAGCGCATGGCAAAAATCTCGAGAGAAGAAAAGCCCAACAAGCAGGCGAGCCTGGAAAAGCACACTTGGATTCCCTCTCCATTCTCTCTGCTCGTGCGATGAATATCCGGCGTGCCGTCTTGTTACCTCCCTGCCCCCTTCTCCCACCTCTTCCCGACGACAGTACAAGGACATATTCAATCGCTATAATGAGCTGCTCAACGCCAGTGCTCAGCAGCTGCTGGTCACTCGGAGGAAGATCAACGAGACCGACCAGGAGGTGAGGAGCAGCCGTCCATTGCTCACATTTCCCTTTTAACCCTTTCCCCTTCCGAGGCGTCTGCAAGTTGAAGGGTCTGTGTGTGTGTGTCCCGTTTACCGCTGAATCTCGGAACGCGCAAGCGGCTCGCGTGAATTGTATTTAGAGCGCCATGGCGCCATTGTTTTTAAAGGGCATCAAACCCACCGCGGAGAACTGTAGTGACATGACCGCGCTCTACGATAGCTGCTGCCAAACTGTAACACACGCCCTCCCGCATAGCCTTGTGGGAGCCTCGGTATGTCTTCAAACCTGAAGACGTACCGATAAAGTTATTACGTCCCATGAACGTCATCGGAACGGAATCGGAAGAAAAACTGATGATGTACTCGTACGTCGTGAGAATGGGAAAGAGTTAAGTGCACAGCTCTTCGCCATCGTTATGTGAATGATGGCGTAGCTGGCCATCGCGACACTGCTGTAGAGCTATGACAATAGCAGTTGGTCTAATTTTCACTCTTAACAATGTCGTATTCTCATATTATGAAATCTGTTGGTTGAAACACTGCTCCTCTATGAAGACGTTTAATTGGCGTTCTCTACACCGTAGAGACTGGACGTAGGCACGACCCCTTTGGGAGCAAGGCCAGCTGTGCTTCCCTTCAGAAGTCGAGCGCTTGTGTCAGCAGTTCCCCATTACCTTCCCCTACCAGTTTCATGTAACAACGCACTGCTTATACCAAAAGTGTGCGTGTGTAAGGTGTGCTCACATCCAGCTTCTACTGCATTGACATTCACTTTACGCTTGACAGTGTTTGCATGCTTTTGTGACCGTTCGTCAGCATGCCGTAATTGCATGTTTTTCAAAAGGGTCTTGTTCGATTACATTCACAGGCAAAAATGTGGCCTGATGTTCGTTACTGCCTGTGTTCAGAATCAGCTTTGTTCAACGGTAGTTCGGTGGACTCGGTCGATAATGCCTCCTTCCTGGGCACTGTGCCATCAGCCCATCACCCCTGTGAGATGCGGTGTTAGAGCCTTGGGGCAGAGCTGAAAAATGAAGGTTCTTCCCTGGTCTCGAAGGGGCTTCGCATTCAGAATATTGATGATCTCAACCTGGTCAGTGATGACTGCACAATAAACGTGTGCCTGGGGTAGACTGCATTGATCTGGAATGGGGCTCTGTGCCCCTCCACTGCCGTTAGGCTCATTGTACACCGACCATGAATTGCCCTTGGAACTGGAACTGAACACTCCACATTCTCTACGCATGGATAAACATTTTTGGAAGAAAAAAATCCCATAAAAATAAAGCACGTGCGTTCAATTCCCCACAACCACAAACAAATTAAACGTGATTCATAACGTGAATATATATATAGGATAGGGGAAAACAAACACATTTAAATTCGAATTAATTGTGTCGAAAATGAACGAACCGTCATCAACAAGGCGATGGTTTGCAACCTGCACGTGGATCAGAAATGATTACGGCATTTGGAATGAAAGTTGAAAAGTCTGCAGAGAAGAATGGGGAAATCCACACTTGAAATTACGCTGCGAGGCAGAAAGTGGAACGCATGGATTAGAGAACATGCACAGGTTAAAGTCGTAATGCAAGCTGTTGAGAGAAGTAAGTGGCCCTGGGCAGGACATGTCACTGGACGGGATGATGATCGATGGACGTGATTGATCGCAGAGTCGCAGTCAGTGCAGGGAATGCACCAGAGACGATAGCCGCCGTGGAGATGGAGGGATGAGAACAGCTCACGTGCAGGAGTGTAGACAGATCACGGGATAGCCAGAGCATGGGGAGGCCTTCACCCAGCCGTGGAACGATCATGGCTCATGACGACGACGATGATGATGAACAACTTAAAAAAAGGCAGCACGTGATGGTCTTTGGAAGCCATCACCTATCGCCCTGTCCGTTCTTCCCTACAGTTCTTCCTCAAGGCCAAAGAGGCTGAGATCTTCCTCAAGGAGATGCTCGACTCCCTGCTCAGGAAGTACGGCTGTGACAAGTGCATGAGCTTCTCTCGCCTGGAGGTGCTGGTGCGCGAGGCGGAGGTGAGGTCACACGCAGAGCCATTTGGGACGACAAATAACAGCCAGGGCTTCATTCCTCACTGAAACATCGCTGGGTCGCCAGTGAGACTGGGAGCGGGCGTGTGACAAGTAGCCGCAGCCATAGCGAGAGAGCTATACTTGACGTGGTGTACCGGTGACCCATACAGAAATTAAGCCTTGATAAGACCCTTTATTTTGACGAGGTGAGAGCTCATTAAGGCTATAGGTATCTTTTAAAATCGGGACCTGTGTTAATAGATGAATAAAGCCATTGTACGAAAATAGATCAGTGGAAGGCAAAATGCAAAAACGAACTCTCAGCTTATAAGCAAAAAAAAGAGATTGAAAGAGTTAATAGCATGACCACACTCACACTCGCAGCGTGTGTGCTGTGACGCCAGGGCGAGGGGGAGAAGATAGCGAGGGAGCGCCACTCCGTGGACTCGCTGCAGAAGCAGAGCAAGACCCCCAAGCACCAGGACGCCGTGGACAGGTAGAGGTCACGCACGCACGGCAGGGCGAGCGAATGGGCGCGAGCACCACCGCCCACCCGCCGGCTGCCCCCCCCCCCCCCCCACTCATTGCGCCGACGCCGATGCTGACGCCGCTGTGCGCCGCAGGATCGAGCGGCTGTACCAGCAGATCCAGGAGGCGTGGAGGCAGGTGGAGCTGAATCTGCAGAGCTTGCTGGCCTGGCACCAGCTGCAGAAGGCGGTGGCCACCATCTCCGGGTGGACCCTGCCCACGGTACATTGCGTGTCAGCGTTTGTCGCGCACAGAATCAGGTGTATACAGTCACAGGCAATTATCCGTTTCACGGTTAAAAAAAAAAAAAGACCTCGGTTTTGTTTTCGGGTTTGTACCGCACGTTGTTCGTCTTCATGTCCGACGTTTCGTTCCGCATGCTGGGAGCTTCTTCAGAAACTATAATTGATCCACTCGCTTTTTATCCCCATAATAGTAATAATTGCAGCATCGCAACATGCCGCACAGCACTCGCTCACTCTCAAAAAAGAGAGAGAGAGAGAGAGAGAAGCTCAGAGGCATGAGAAGCCACAGACAAGTGGGACAGGCAGCCCCACGCGGTGAGCCGGTACCAAACGCCACCCAAGTTCTGACGTCCTCCACATATAAAGGTGTCATCAGGCAACTAATGAGTTTGAGAGGAAAGCGGAGCTCCTCGGGCAGTGGTGGCCAACCCGGTAACCGACCTACAGCCAAAGAGGACCAAAGAGGACCCATGAGTTCTGCTAAAGAGCCACGTGTATATGACAGCACGGCACGGGAGACGTTTGTTATTCTTTGCTACTGCGATAGTGCGTTCTACGTTAGACCCCTTCGACAGAGCCGCTACGTGGCGGATTGAAGAGCCGCATACGGCTCGGGTGAAGCCGGGCTGGCCACCGCTGACCTGGAGGATCAATTCAAGCCGACTTGCGATGGACAGCCGTCCCCATTGCCGAGGACTGCCGCTCCCGGCGGAACGGAAATGTTTATTGAACTCGGTGGCGTGGCACTCGAGTGACCGAGCCATTTGGATATTATTGACCTGAGATTGCAAACACAAGAAGAGTGAAAACACAACGGGGTCACCAGTGCCGGATGAAGCTAGCGCGGGGCCCGTGGCATATGTTATAAAGGGCCCCTAAATAAATAAATAAACACGTAAATATTACAACACACAAATGTATTGCATCGTAAAGTAATTGTATTTTTTTTCATTTGCTATACAACCAGATAATACGACAAATCGCTAACCTTAAACACCCAGTCGTTCATGAAAGTTGAAGGCAGCATAGTACTATAGTAATAGAGCAAGTGCAGAATCACTGAACCGGAATCGATAGCTTGAAAGCATTTAGCGCGGGGCCCTTGAAAGTGCGGGGCCCGTAGCTACTACTACATATGTGTAGTAGCTACTTGTGCTGCTACGATAATCCGGTAACTGGGGGTCAGAGTAGTAAATTATTAAATATTCTACGAGAGCAGTACTGTACTGCCGATGTGTTGGTGGTTGTGCCGTAGAGCTCTGTGGAGTGGTGGACCAGCGCGGTTCACGCACAGCGAGTTCGATTCCCGCTCACTGTCAACATCAGTGACGATTACCTGAACCGGTTCTCCACTTGGTCGACTCAGCTTCAAGCGAGTACCTGGTGCGCTGTGTGAGCATCGCCACTCGGGAGACAAAGGTGGCCGCGTGTGGTGCTGGCCACCCACCCACTCGCGTGCCGCTCCCGACCTCCATAGGTGCTCGCAAACAGCACTTGCCCCAACGGCCTGTTCAGACTACAAGGGGGATCTTTGCTGCACAGCTCTCCGATGGAGCCGCTCGATTCAGTTCCTCATGAAGCCCACAGCACGGGGAAAGAAACGTGAGACATCACGCCGAGCAACACGCGGTACGAAACGCGCGCGTGCGTGCGTGCGCTTAGATCAAGACGCTGCGTAAGGAGGAGCTGGACGGGGCCATACAGAACCTCGACTCCCAGTACAACACCCTCGTGAGCAAGAGCCACGGGTCAGATATCATTCTTCCGGACGACTGCGTGCAGTCGGAGGGCGATGTCAGGGGCTGCAAGCAGCACTACCACATGCTTCTCACCCGCCTCACGCAAGGTGAGTTCGCAGTGTCTCGCACAGGGATTCGCGTGGTTCTGCTGCTCCAGGTACTGTGCTGTTGCTGCCAGCGTTCAGCTCGACTTGACTGAGCCGTCTTGTCAGTGAGTTTGCGAAGCTTTTTGAGCGTTCCTCGCGCAGCCAGTGGTACTCATTTTCATTGGTCCCGGAGGGTTTGCTGGCTTTGTCAACTCTGGCCAGGATTGCTGTACATGCTGGATGGCCCCAAAGACAGGAGCTGAGGGCCATTTTTATTTTTTATTTTAAGAAATCATATAGGGTTGTTTAATTTATTTCAACAAATGCTCAAACTGACTTCCGTTAATATTTAGGCGTGCATGAATTCTATTTTGATATTAATTTATAACTGTTTTTGATGAATACAGGTGTAATCTTTGAACAGTCATCAAATGTGTTTTGCCTCACTTCAGTACATTTTCTTTACATTTTTAAACGTTGCCGTGAAAAGGAAAAATGAAAAGGTGATATTAATAATTATGACAGGCAAAATATGAACTTAAAGAATGAACAAGTAAAATGTTTTAATTGCCAGTGTTAAAATAAATATAAGCCTGTGTGTCCTGACTTATTGGCAACCCTGTATATGATGACCAAATCGCGTGCATTGCGCCCCATCAGGTTGAGCCTGACAACTGCTAGGATCGGTGACCACTGTGTGCCAACGGGATGTTACCGAGAGCTGTAGGGCCATGTAGTGGGCAGTGCGAAGGTAGTGCAGACAAACCCATTGTTGTACTGTGCGTCTATGCTGCCCGCCTTCGCCAATTGTCAAATATAATCCACCAGATTGTGGGGAGGCCCTCATCTAGAAGTGGATTGACAAATACTGGTAGTGTAGGTGCCAATGCTGATGACGATGACGATGCTGGCGACGTTAGTGGTGGTGCCGATGGCAACGCCGGCGGCAACGCTGGCGCTAATTGCCGGTGATGCAATTAGCAACCAGGTTTTTTGAAACCTCGACGCCCATGGCAAGGGAGTTTTGCAACATTTGTGCAATCCACCAACCCTCACCTCCACAGTGCTGAATTAGAGGCGCGTGCCGCTGCCGTCTGGCTATGTACGTGTGTACCTTGAACTTCGTTCGCACCGTACGTAGCCAGCCGTGGCAAGCGGATAAAAAAAGTTTGCGCGAGGAGGAGCCGGAATGTCGCCGTGCAGGAGCTAGACTCCCAGTACGGCATCTTCGTGAGCGAGAGCCACGGGTCGGACTTCTGGGGGAGAGTATGACGAGTATGGGGGGGGGGGGGGGGGGGGTCTTTGCTTTCTGGGCTTTGGCGAGCAGTGTGCCGCGAGGAGGAGCTGTGTCACGACAGCCTCTCTCGGCTGCGGGAGTTCATGCGCCTGGCGGACGGATTCCGCGATCAGATCCTGCAGCGGGTGCGCGCCCCGTTGGAGCACAACGCGGCCCAGGACATCTCCACGCGCATCTTCGAGCAGGAGGTGACCTCGCCGACCCGTGCCACTGGGAGCTAGACACTTTCTTAGAAACGTGGATCGAAAGCTCGTTCCTTTAGCGTTCGGTCGGCTCGCCGTGCTCACGGCGCATCTCACTAAGCCGCCGTCCCACCGCTCCATTCTGGACGGCGACGATTTACCGTCGCGATCCGCGCAAAGCGAAGCCGCACCACGACCCAGCGGCTTCGCACGCCTCCGATCGTCGCGGTCGGCTACGTACGGCGCGAAAGAAGTTCGGCATTCATACCCCCTGCTCGTGCGCGACCCCGCCCGTGTTGTCGCCCCCCAACCCACCCCCCACCCTCCATTGCCACGTGCCCAGAGACTCGACTGCGAAGTTCGCAACCTGCGGGACACGGCGCTGCGCGTGGGGGCAGCCTGCGTGGAGGAGCACGACCAGCCCTCGTCCTGCCCCCTCCTGCCCGGCCTGGAGGCCGACCTGGCCGAGGCCTCGCGCCAACTCGACCTCGTCGTCAGCCTCTCCGCCGACTGCCGCGACGAGTGGGTTCCCCCCTCCTCGTCACGGTCGGCAGTTGCAGCGCGTCCGAATGCTGGCAACCTGGTGGAACGGTCACACACTGGCTACATCTTTCCGCCGCAGCGGTTTGAAATAACGGTCGATTAATATTAATAATAATCATCATCATCATGACAATTGACATTTATAAGGCGCAATTTATACAGGGATCTCAGTGTGCCATGCACGGAGTTAGTAAATATAAATACTGCATTAGACTCCATGTTCACCAAGCGGCGTACGTACGTACGTATGTTGAACTTCTTTCGCACCGTACGTAGCCAACCGTGCTAGATCGGAGGCACGGGGGAAGGGATCGGTGCGGGGGGAAGGAATTTCCTTCCTCATTCCCCCACAGTGTGAACGGGTAGAACAACAGTCAGTCGTTTGGCGGGTTGCGTGCAATGGGGTTGAGTGTAAGTGTTCCCACCTCTTACAAGGCACCCGGCCAGCTTGGAAGGGTAGGGCAAACACCCTCTCGTTGGCCTCTATCGAGCTCCAACCAGCGGAGGCGATTCCGCCAGGCAGTGGCGTGAGCAAGCAATTGCAGAGCTGCGCCTTAGCTTGCTCGGTAGCTTTCGGGGCTGAAATGCCAATCGACGCCTCTGTCTTTTGCGCGCGTTCTCATTGCGTGTCCTGCGTGCACGCGTCTTCACGTGCACGCGTTTGCGTGCGTCCAGCCTCAAGTGCCTCGAGGTGTTGGTGAAGGGCTGCCAGGAGGCGGAGGAGGTGGTGGGGACACTGGAGAGCGAGCTGCTCAAGTCCGACGTGGTGCCGGGCGACCGCGATGAGGCCGACCGCATGCGCTCCTGCCTGCAGGTCGCCTGGCTATGCCTCCTCTTCAACTTGCATTCCACACGGTCACTCGCAGCGGCTTTTGGCCGACCATTGAACAAAGACGGTTACCGCATCGCTCGCTTTCAGAAGCGCTTCTGCGGCCGTCTGGAATGCTCTTCCTTACGCTCGTAGGAAGCCACTTTTAAAACTAGAATGAAAACTAATTCATTTATAACAGATTTTTGTGTTTAGTTTGTTGTCCTTCCCCGCACCTCCGATTGGCACGGTTGGCTACGTACGGTGTGAAAGAAGTTCAACATACGTACATATATCACCAGCAGCAGCAGCCATGCTCAATCCACCGCTGGATGAAGGCCTCCTCAAGCTGCCACAACCTCTCACGAGCCTGCAATACAACATCCAGAACCTGTCCATGAACTGATTTCACTGCCCCATCTTCTCGGGTTGGAGTCCTGTGGGATGAGTGCCATTCCTTGGCTGCCACTCCATTATTGTTCTTGAACATCAGCCCGAATCCCATCTCACGACATGTTCCCCCCCCGGGCCCAACAGTTTAGAATCTTGTCATGAACCTGCGCATGAACCTGCGCGTGCTATCTAATCCATGTGCTTCAACTATTTGTCTCTCAATGTGTGCATCGATTGTGTTCATGTGTTCATCTATTACGTGTGTGCACTTCTAGTAACTGATAGCATCACACTCCATGGGAGGCAAATTAATTGGTTCACTCCTGATTCGAGATTGTATGCATTTTAAACGTTTAGCAGAATACTTTGTTTATATATGATTAGAACTTTAGGCCTTGCCAAAATAATTAAATCAATCAACCTCCAGCCAGTATTTTAAATTGTTGGTTTTATACTTTCATAGCTAGATGCATAGACGCGCCAATAATTGCGCCCTATTTGAGCTTTCTAATCCTTCCAGAGCAGGATTCAAATGTCCATGGGGATGGTGGCGCAGTTATCCCAGCGACCTAAGTTAAATTCCCGGTGACGGCTAACATCAGTGGGCAAGTCATATCTGATCCGGTCTTCAACCCCCCCGCCCCCCTCACCCACCTGAATTGGCTAGCATGGCGAAGTGAATTATAAATAGCCCCCGTGACCAACAAAGCGGAGTCAGAATATTTCTACTGGAGGATTCCGATGCGCTATAAAACTCTCCTTTCACAGATGTGCGGTAGGGGCGGGTCAGAACGCTACAAAAAACGGACGTTACGAAAACACGATGATAGTGCAATCTGTAGGAAAGGTAAACAAATAACAAAAAAATACAATATTTTTTTTATTTTACCAGGTAAAGCCCACTGAGTTATTAGCTCCTTTTTCAGAGGCGACCTGGCCACAAATGAGACCTCAACTAAGCGGCTTATCACGTGCAAATTTACAGCAGCCAAATAATCCACCGAGCAATGCATTGACGAAGGGAGGCCACGTGCCAGCTGTCAGCTCCGTAACCCCCCCACCTCCTCCTCCTCCTCCCGCCGCTCGCAGCAGAGGCAGAGCGAGTTGGCGAAGGATTCGGCATTCGCGCGCCTGGAGCGCGAACTGCAGGCCGCCAGGGAGGTGAATGAGCGCCTGGCGCGCCACCACGGGGAACGCGACGCCAATGTGGAGCGCTGCCGTGAGCACGTGGAGCAGCTGCTGGAGCGCTGGAGGAGCGTACGGCACCACGTGGACGGACGGTGAGCGGCCCCCCTTCGCCCCTTTGTTGTTGACGTCGTCGCTTGTGGGGGGGGGCTCGGGAATGGCGCGTTGCGGTGCGCTGTCCGTCGTGCAAAGCGGGCTGCTGATGCCGAGTTTGGCGGTTCGCGCACGAGTACAGTACAACAAATAACAAACAAAAAAATGTAACTCAATAAATCACGCCACCATCAAGAGGAGAAATGATGAATGTCCCTTCTTCGTGCCAGAGAGATCTCGAAGAGGTGGCATTTCAGACAATGGCCCTTCTTCGTAGCAGAGAAGTCTCTTATTTAAAAAAAAAACACACACACAAAGATCTCTCTCCTATGAAAACCCATTACCCTTCTTCAAAGTAAAATTTCCGAATGGGGCATCTTGTTGTTGTTGCTGCTGCTATTAGCCGGTAACTTTTCACTGTGGGCTAAAGCCCCCGCCTCCCCAACCCACCCCCCAGTTGTATTCTGTGACTCCCTCTCCGTCGTCGTTGCCGCTGTCCCAGCCGTGGCCATCGAACTCTTTGACCGCTGTCTCTTTCCACTGTCCACCTCTGCGTCTTCTTACCTTCTCTCGGCACCTCTCGGCACCCGAGACTCTGGCAAATGTTTTGTGCGTGCGTATGCTTAACTTCTTTCGCACCGCACGTAGCCAACCGTGCTAACCGGAGGTGCTGGGGGAAGGACAACAGACGGAACATAAAAAGCAGTTCTAAAGAAATTAGCCTTCTATCTAGATTATTTAAAAGTGCATAGCTCCAGCGGCTTCCTAATATCAGAAGGAAGAGCGTTCCAGACGGCCGCCGAAGCGCATCTGAAAAGAGCGCGATGCCGGTTGACCGACTTCTAAAGAACTCCCCAGCGGTTCTAAACAACTCCCCCACAGGCTGGGGTGCTGCCCCCGTCATTACAAATCGCGTGCGGTTCTCTACCCATTTGCCAGCCGTGTGGGCTAGCCAACGGCGTCCTTTTCTCTGCATGCCGAGCGGGCAGGCAGGCAGGCGGGTGGGTGGGGGCGGGGTGAGTGACCGATTGCTTTGTGCTGCACGCAGCCTGGGACAGCTGGCGGAGCTGGGCCCGCTGCTGCACAGCTACGCACAGAGCTCGGGGAGCCTGACACGCTGGCTGGACGACGCAGCGCGTCGCCACGAAGCCCTGCAGGGAACCCTGCACGTCGACGATGGCCATGATCTCAAGGTGATTCGCCCGTCGTTCGATCATTTTGGCCATTCGTTCAGGTCGTTCCATCGGTCATGACGTTCTGTGCAGGATGTTGCTGTGGTGTAACGGTAACAGTTAGCACAAAAGGTTAGAAGAATCCCCGCGTAGCCCTGACAGACTGTTGGAGCCAGTGCTACGAGCAGCGCCTAGGAGGTGGGTGGCCAGCAACCACGCCCGGCCGCCTTTATCTCCCCAGTGGCGATGTTTCCACACAGCACAGGACCGAGTGATATAATCGTCACTGGCGTTGGCCATGAACGGGAACCGAACTCGGTTCGCCGGGTGTCGCAGCGTGCTAATACGAAAGTGTTCCCCTTGGTTGCGCTGCTTACAACATTGACCAGCAGCACATCGCGTACGCACGGCCGCACACACACCACCGGCCACTACACTGATCACACCACACCAGGTACTAATTTGAGGCTGAGCCGACCTAGGGGAGGCCCAGGACCAGTTCAGATAATCATCACTGATGTTGGCCGTGAGCGGGAATCGAACTCTGGTCGCTGAGTTTGTATTGCAGCGCGTTAACCGCTGTACTACCGCACCCCACACACAAACACATGCAGCAGCAGCAGCAGCATGCGCATCGTGAACGCAGCACAAACGTGCGTGCAATTGTTGGCGTACCGTTCAATACGTTTGCTCGAATGAATGTATGAGCACGTAGCCTTCAAAGGCACGTCATGACTTGTTAAGCCATTTTAAAATACGGGGAGGACAACAGCACGGTGGTGAGCTTGCTTCAGGCGGTGCTGCCTCTTCCTTTGGATCCACTAGCGGCAGTTGAAACGACGATTTCTTAAATCTCACCCCCCCCCCACTTCCCTCCGTCCACCCAGCAGTGTTCATGGGTTGGCAAAGTAGGGGGCACAGGTGGTGCATCGGCCAGTCATCTCAGTCGACACGTGGCATCTGGGTCTGCCACGCGACCTCCTGCCCGCGGGCGTTCGACACTTCACGTGGCCTTAACGTGCACCTAGCCTGGCACAAGCGCCGTGGTGACGTCACCGCCACTTAGTGGCGAATGGCGGTTTTTGTTTTCATTTTTGTTTTTGTTCATGAGTATAACCGTAATGAGTGCTTGGCAGGTCTGGGGGTGGCAGGGCAAAGTGCACGGCACTCCTACGTCTTCCAAGACATCTGGCCGGTGTATATGTATGTACGCTGAACTTGTTTTGCATCGTACGCGGCCAACTCTGCGAATCGGAGTGTGGAAGAGTAGGCCAAAAATACCCTCGAGCGGGAAGCTCTTGAGCTCCCTCTTGCGGAGGCCCTTCCACCAGCAGCCGCGTGAACGGGAAATCGCAGCGCTGCACCTTTGAGCTTGGATGGTTGCCATACGTGATCTCGTTTTTGTTTCAGAACCTCATATTGGACATTCAGAGCAAACAGCAGATGATGGACGAATGTCAGAAGAGCTGCGAGCAGTCCTGCTCTGACCTCAAGGTAATTGACACCCGGCCTCAGACCAGGGTTGCACTCTGCGCACATGCGTCACCATATGGCGGTCCAGTGGCCCGGTTTACCGGTTCCCTTGTAACACATTCCTGATCTGAGTGACAGTCCCACATGATTCCAGTGACTCCGGTTACATCGATTCCCATTATTGATACTCGCCTCAAGGCTCTGAACACGATCGACTAAAGCACATAATAGGTGGCCATGAGACGCACCTGGTTTATCGGCAGTCTTCTGGGATGAGTAAGTCGTTATGCGCGGTGCTGCCGGTGTATTTGTAGCAGACAGTGTGCTTCGAATGATGAATGAACGTCGTAATCACGTGGCAGACCCTCTTGTGTTGGAGGTACAAGTACTGGTGCTTCCAACTTGCAGGAGTTCTTGCAGCCCCCTTCTCTTGTTGACCTGTGTTGTCTCGAATCCTGTCATTCATTTGTCGTTTCCCCATTTTTTTTTTTGCCCGGGTGAAATGTTGCTTGGCGAGCACTTTCGAGTGCTTCGTGATACTCTCGCGTTCAAGCGCTGAGCACTTTCAAATCCTGACCGTAATAGTTAAGACGACGTGAACAGCGTGTACATCACCAGATGATGTGAACAACGTGTACATCACCAGACAACGTGAACAACGTGTACATCACCAGACAATGTGAACAACGTGTACATCACCAGACAACGTGAACAACGTGTACATCACCAGACGATGTGAACAACGTGTACATCACCAGACAATGTGCACAACGTGTACATCACCAGACAATGTGAACAACGTGTACATCACCAGACAATGTGCACAACGTGTACATCACCAGACGATGTGAACAACGTGTACATCACCAGACGATGTGAACAACGTGTACATCACCAGACGACGTGAACAACGTGTACATCACCAGACAACGTGAACAACGTGTACATCACCAGACGATGTGAACAACGTGTACATCACCAGACGATGTGAACAACGTGTACATCACCAGACAACGTGAACAACGTGTACATCACCAGACAACGTGAACAACGTGTACATCACCAGACAACGTGAACAGCGTGTACATCACCAGACAACGTGAACAACGTGTACATCACCAGACAACGTGAACAGCGTGTACATCACCAGACGATGTGAACAACGTGTACATCACCAGACAACGTGAACAGCGTGTACATCACCAGACAACGTGAACAGCGTGTACATCACCAGACGATGTGAACAACGTGTACATCACCAGACGATGTGAACAACGTGTACATCACCAGACGATGTGAACAACGTGTACATCACCAGACAACGTGAACAACGTGTACATCACCAGACAACGTGAACAACGTGTACATCACCAGACGATGTGAACAACGTGTACATCACCAGACAACGTGAACAACGTGTACATCACCAGACGATGTGAACAACGTGTACATCACCAGACGATGTGAACAACGTGTACATCACCAGACAACGTGAACAGCGTGTACATCACCAGACGATGTGAACAACGTGTACATCACCAGACAACACGAACAACGTGTACATCACCAGACGATGTGAACAACGTGTACATCACCAGACAACGTGAACAACGTGTACATCACCAGACGACACGAACAGCGTGTACATCACCAGACAACGTGAACAACGTGTACATCACCAGACAACGTGAACAACGTGTACATCACCAGACAACGTGAACAACGTGTACATCACCAGACGACACGAACAGCGTGTACATCACCAGGCAACGTGAACAACGTGTACATCACCAGACAACGTGAACAACGTGTACATCACCAGACGACACGAACAGCGTGTACATCACCAGACAACGTGAACAACGTGTACATCACCAGACAACGTGAACAACGTGTACATCACCAGACAATGTGAACAGCGTGTACATCACCAGACAACGTGAACAGCGTGTACATCACCAGACGATGTGAACAGCGTGTACATCACCAGACAACGTGAACAACGTGTACATCACCAGACAATGTGAACAGCGTGTACATCACCAGACAACGTGAACAGCGTGTACATCACCAGACGATGTGAACAGCGTGTACATCACCAGACAACGTGAACAACGTGTACATCACCAGACAACGTGAACAACGTGTACATCACCAGACAACGTGAACAACGTGTACATCACCAGACAATGTGAACAACGTGTACATCACCAGACAATGTGCACAACGTGTACATCACCAGACGATGTGAACAACGTGTACATCACCAGACGATGTGAACAACGTGTACATCACCAGACGATGTGAACACCGTGTACATCACCAGACAACGTGAACAACGTGTACATCACCAGACGATGTGAACAACGTGTACATCACCAGACGATGTGAACAACGTGTACATCACCAGACAACGTGAACAACGTGTACATCACCAGACAACGTGAACAACGTGTACATCACCAGACAACGTGTACAGCGTGTACATCACCAGACAACGTGAACAACGTGTACATCACCAGACAACGTGAACAGCGTGTACATCACCAGACGATGTGAACAACGTGTACATCACCAGACAACGTGAACAGCGTGTACATCACCAGACAACGTGAACAGCGTGTACATCACCAGACGATGTGAACAACGTGTACATCACCAGACGATGTGAACAACGTGTACATCACCAGACGATGTGAACAACGTGTACATCACCAGACAACGTGAACAACGTGTACATCACCAGACAACGTGAACAACGTGTACATCACCAGACGATGTGAACAACGTGTACATCACCAGACAACGTGAACAACGTGTACATCACCAGACGATGTGAACAACGTGTACATCACCAGACGATGTGAACAACGTGTACATCACCAGACAACGTGAACAGCGTGTACATCACCAGACGATGTGAACAACGTGTACATCACCAGACAACACGAACAACGTGTACATCACCAGACGATGTGAACAACGTGTACATCACCAGACAACGTGAACAACGTGTACATCACCAGACGACACGAACAGCGTGTACATCACCAGACAACGTGAACAACGTGTACATCACCAGACAACGTGAACAACGTGTACATCACCAGACGACACGAACAGCGTGTACATCACCAGACAACGTGAACAACGTGTACATCACCAGACAACGTGAACAACGTGTACATCACCAGACGACACGAACAGCGTGTACATCACCAGACAACGTGAACAACGTGTACATCACCAGACAACGTGAACAACGTGTACATCACCAGACAATGTGAACAGCGTGTACATCACCAGACAACGTGAACAGCGTGTACATCACCAGACGATGTGAACAGCGTGTACATCACCAGACAACGTGAACAACGTGTACATCACCAGACAATGTGAACAGCGTGTACATCACCAGACAACGTGAACAGCGTGTACATCACCAGACGATGTGAACAGCGTGTACATCACCAGACAACGTGAACAACGTGTACATCACCAGACAACGTGAACAACGTGTACATCACCAGACAACGTGAACAACGTGTACATCACGAGCTGGCGCTGGACATGCATGCCATTCCTCGTAACCCTTTCAGTATTTTTGCTCATTCTTTTTTTGTTGTGAGCACTTTCATTTTCATCTTTACTGAGCAGCTTTTACAAAACCACCCGTTCTTAGTTTCTTCAAAAAAACAAAAACATTGGCAGGCTGCGGTGTGTACAAAATTCCTTGGCACGTGTCATGACGTGTACTGCAAGATCCAGTTGCATTGGATTCCGGTTCACGGATGAATACATTATAAGGTCACACTCATTTCACACAAAGTGCTTGGCACAAATGAACCAAATACCTTGCTGATGTCGTCAAGAATCATGAACCATCACGCCAACTCCAGTCATCCTATTGGCTAACCATCGAACAAAGACGGTCACTGCATCGCGCATTTTGAGAAGCGCTTCTGCGGCCGTCTGGAACGCTCTTCCTTCCCAATATTATGAAGCCACTGGAGCTATGCAATTTCAAATCTAGATTGAATACTCTTTTATTTGGAACTGTTTTTTTGTGTTTAGCACAGTTAGCTACGTGATAAGTTGAATGCACATACGTGCATTCGATGAGTGACGTTAATGTTGGTTTATTTTTTCTGGCAGGACTACGAGGTGCTGCTTCTGACCTACAGGACGCTCGTTGAAAAGTTCCAGCCCAACTTCTACCGCCGGAACAAGATCTCCTCCCCCTCCGATCGCATCACGCAGGATGTGAGCGTGGTCCTTTTTTTTGTTAATCAAACACCGCCGGGTTATTACCAATTCAGCAGAAGTTCTTCTTCGAAGGCCCAGGGACCCTGCCATAGGAATGTGGAATGTCTGTCACCGGTTCAGGACTTAACAAACATGGTCAACGCTTTCGTGACTGCAGTGATTCATATTCTTGGTTCTTTCGGTAAAGTCACGTTGAAGGGAAACAATAACATAATATAAAATATATAAAACAATAAAATTCTCACGACGTTTCGACTGCAACACAAGCAGTCATCATCAGGTGTGAAAACCAACGGCAAGAACATTTGAAAGAAGTGGCGGATTGTATTTATTTATTTTTAAACGTTAGCACCACGGAGAGCGATTTGACAGTTTGTTTAGATGGACGAGTCCATCTATGTTCGGAAAAGAGGAGGGGGGAGACGAAAAATGTATGTATGCTGTCGTGAGAATTTTCTGGTTTTATATATATATTATTATTTTATTGTTTCCCTTCAACGTGACTTTACCGAAAGAACCGAGAATATGGTCAACGCTTTTTTCAGATTGGTCCTGTGACCATCCGGCGGTCATTTAAACATGGGGATGCTTTGAGTTAAAATACGAGCTTGGTGAAATAAACATTTTGAAAGGGGTTCGTAATTCGGCCCGGATCACTCGAGGATAGGCAATACATCAATAATGGGCGAAGTATCCTCCTTCCAAACGAGAAACGGTTCATTATTAGAGGGCATCTCCTGACCTGGAGTGCAGACACAGCCAGGTAATGAAGTGATTAGGTAATTGTTGATTGCTGGCGAGAGACAACTATTGTGACAGATGCCTGATACGGCACGATTCAAATCATCATCTTCATCATATTACGATTGATGTACGAAAACATTGTAGTTTTTATCGTCATATTACTATTGAGCTATTCAAAGATGCGTGTCCACTATTCTGCTTTTAACGAGAGAATCCGAAGCAGTCCAAGCACTCGACACATTCCACAACAACACTGCTCTAAGAAGGAAAAACATCTGTTCTAATTGCCATAATAGAGGTTTTTTTGGGTTAGATCGCGTAAATATATAAATGTGTCGTTAAAACCCGCCACCACCCGACACAGCCAACTAGTAAGGGTTGTCACGTAAACAGGTGGACTTCTCTACAAATCTGGCCGTCGCCTGATGAAGCTAGTTGTAATTACTGGCGAAACGTCGTACTCAGATTGTAAATGTTGTGGCTTGGCTCTCCAACACACCGGCGTGCTGTACTCGTGACGAATTGGCACGTTCCGTTTAATTGACAACCCTCACTAGTTGGCTGTGTCGGGTGGTGGCGGGTTTAACGACACAACATTTATATATTTACGCGATCTAACCCAAAAAAACTCTATTATGGATGATATTGGTCGCGAAAGCCTAACGTGTTAAACGAATTGCAATAAGGTAGGGTCATTGTCTGAAATGTCACCAATTATAAATGCTTTCCTCTGTAGGGCAGTGGTGTTGCGAAATGTGTTCGTGGTTGTGCATCGCTTGACACGTTCCCCAGTGTCCACGGACACGGTGGCGAGACATGGCGCCAATTACGATGACTTAAACGTTTCGTGTGCTGTACACAAGCGTGACCGACGTACAAACGTAATGAAGCGTGTAACGTCTGTGTTTGCATTGCAGTACATCAACCTACGCACCCGCTATAACGAGTTGCTGGCGACCACAAACCAGGCCTTGCAATTTGAGGTAAGGCTTGTTTTGCACTTTGTCAGATGCGATTTTTAAATGCACGATGAGAGAGCTGGCACCGTGTCCCAAACACACCGCTCAAAATCCACCGCCTAGATCGGTGTTTCATATCTATATAAATAATGCTAGCAGCGTGGAAGAGGAGGCCACGTACGATCTTGGCAAAGCCCTCACTCGTGAAGGCCCTTCCACCAGCAATAACGTTAGCAGCCCATTCGGCTTCATCGGAATTCAAGGCTGTACCTTCACATTTTCATGAATGCAAGGCTGTGCCTTTACTCTTTAAATAATCATACTAATAATTCAAACATGTCAACCGTCTGATGGACACGCGCTTGTGCTCGCAGTTCCTGGCAGAGGCGCACGAGCTGGAGGAAGGTCTGAAGAGCGTGCAGGAGACGCTGAGGAGGGCGGCCACTGAGAAGCCAGGGAGCCTGGTTCGCCTCGACCAGCTGCTGCTCGACATGGCCGTGTGTTGTTCACACCGCTCGGCACCGCACCACACCGCTCGGCACCGCACCGCACACACCGTGAACACACCGGCTGCTCTTCGTGGCTCTGTGTTGTTCACACTGCTCGGCACCGCACCACACCGCTCGGCACCGCACCACACCGTGAACACAGCCGGGGACGCATGCGCTGTGCCTTACCATATTGCGACTCAGTTTGCAGTGAGCGTGCAGCAACCGACGCCACTTAAGCACTCGGCAATACGACTACCGCATAGGGGTTTATTTATTATTATTTTTATTATTTTTGCGGTCGTGGCCGTCTATCTCTGCGATGTGTTTTTTAATAATGAGCCGCGTGTTGTTTGTCAAGATGTCTGACGTTTCGCTCCACGCGCTGGAAGCCTCTTCGAGAGCTGGGAGCTTCAGTTAACGATGGGTCGTGTGCATTGCGATTGAGCATCTTACGAGCCTCAAGATTAGTGTCACCCTGGGGTTAGCCAGAATCTGAGTCTCTTCTTCCAGCAAAAGGGGTGGCGAAACGTCGGACATCGTGCTGAACAAGCCGGAGAACAACCAGAGAACACTAACGGAGAGCTTGAAACGGCATATGTTGGGTTAAAACGAAACTTGTCTATTCTGATTTAACCAGGTAAGGCCCACTGAGCTACATAGCTCTTTTGTCAGAAGCGACTTGGCTACAAATGATAGCTGAACGAAGTGGCCTATCACGTGGAAATTTGTAGCTGCCAAATACTCTAAACGCATGATGTTGATTTTAAATGTGGAGGGAAAAACCGGAGGACCCGATGGATGAAAAATCCACGGGGAGAGAGAGACGTGGATCAGGATCGAACCCACGAACCTCCTGTATACCAGGCGAGGTAGATAGCACCTCGCCACGGTGGCGCATAAGGGGGTGATGACAGCGAGGGTTGTGTGCGTGCCTTAGGTGGTGCATCAGCGTCTGCAGGAGACCAAACCCCGCGTGGGACTGCTGCCCGGCCGAGCCAAGAGCAAGGACCAACAGGAGAAGGCCCACAGGTGAAAGCTTCGCTCCACCGCGCTTTAGTTTCTACATCTATCGCCATGGTCCACCCTAAACCGCATCTGTAAAAACCATGGCAGATGCGGATACTTCATGCACAAATGGAATTTTTTTTTACTTTCCAATGTGCGACCGTGGTCATCCAGTTTCAGTTTTCAGTTTTCATTTATTTTGGTATAGCCCTGTGAGCCATTCGGCTCGTGAATCGGGTGCAACCACAACAACCAAAAAACAAAACATGAACAAGAATAACATCTTAAAGAGACTATGTGACTGTGCAAACAGAAAATCCAGGAAAAAAACAGCAAAATATTTATGAAAAAGCACCGCACACCAACGCTGTGTGCAAAAATCCCAGTGGGATGCAAGTCAAACAACAACCCACAAGACAACTTAGATTAGAACGGAGAATGCAATGCCCGATCCACAAATACAAACGAGACAGCTCCTGAAACGATTATCTGGCTTGACCACCTGAATGTGAAATTGTAGCTGTTGCTCTGCATCTACATCAGCCGTACGACAAGAATACATTTTTAAGAAACGATATTTATTGTTGGAGGCGGCCGGTTAGCTCAGGGGTCAGAGCACTGAGGTGCTGGGTTTTAATCAAGGCAGCCGTAGGGTCACGACGATGCCGGGTTCTCAAGAGAAGGGAGCCGCCGGTGTGAGCTTTCCCATCAACGGCCAAACAAAGTGTGCACCAGAAGCCGCTCGAAAGGATCTCAGATTTTTTTTTTTTTAGTTTTTAACACAAGAAGGGTTTTTACTCTGGTCTGCGAAAAATCCGCACGGATACTTCGTCTCGAGACGTGACGCTGATAGCGCCACGTGGGGTAACATTCGGGAAACAAATAGAAACATTGATGTTGCAGTTAGTGCTCGCAGCACGTGCTTGAATAATAATGCCGTTGAGCTATCGTCACACCGCCAGCGCCAATAATGTGTTGTTGCCTTGGGCCATTGCCATTTCATGCAGTTTTACTTTTGTGGATTTATTTTATGTGTTGATAGATTTTTTTTTCTCAAACGGAATTTTAAAGGCATTCCCTCGCTGTCTGTGTTCGCTGTCCATCCTTATTAGCATAGGTGGGCGGAGACATGAGCGTGAGCTTATTGAAATTCACAAGGGCTTATATTTGTACGTTTCTTTTGCAGCGCTACCGACATTACATGTTTGTGTGACCCTACAAAAACACATTAAGACTTTGAGGCTATATTAAATGTCCTTTTGGCTGACACATCTTACCTTGAAACACACCGATGTCTTGACTACATCCTGTCATTATTTTCTCGTGACATTTTTTCATATGTATCTGTCAAAGGAGACAAATATATATTTGGCAGTTTAACAATTAAGGTAATTGTGCAAATTTGGTCAGGCCACTTAGTCAACGAGGCTAGGACAACTCAGCCTTAAATAAGTACCTGGTGCTCTATGTGAACACAAGCAATGGGCTCACCATAGTGGCCAGGCATCGTGCTGGCCTCACCACCCATTTGTTCGCTAACACTTGCCCCAACAGTCCATGAAGGCTAAGGGGGATCTTTGTCTTTGTATCTATTGAACATGTAGTGTAGCGGTTAGTGGTAGTGTAGCGGTTAGCACGCTGCGCTATGAACCTGGCGACCCGCGTTCAATTCCCGCTGACGGCCAACACCAGTGATGCTTATCTGAAGTGGTCCTGGACCTCCCCCTAGATCGACTCATCCTCAAATGAGTACCTGGTGCAGTGTGTAAACATCGCGACTGGGGAGACAAAGGCGGTCAGGCGTGATGTTGGTCACTCAACCCTTTATGTGCCGGTCCGGCCTTCATAAGTGGTCGCTAACAGCAATTGACCCCAACAGTCTGTTGAGGCTATACGTGGAATCTTTGTCTTGTATATATGGACATGAACGTGTGTGTGTGCGCACGTGTTTGCTGCACGTGAGGGGTATTTGCCTTTGTGCGTATCTGTTTGCATATATGTGTCATATATGGAGACATGTCCGCATGTGTATTTGTGAATGCACCTCACCGTTTGCTGTACGCGTGTGTCGCAGCCCGTGACTGTCTTTGTAATTTTTACTTAAAACTTTCGTGACTGCATGAATTCATATTCTTTGGTTCTTTCGGTAAAATCACGTAGATAGAAATTTTTTTTAAAAAACAAAGTGAATTAAAAAATTTTTTAACAAAATAGATTTTTAAATATTTTTTAAATATCATTATTTTTATATCTACGTGACTTTACCGAAAGAACCAAAGAACATGTCTTTGCCATTTACCCCATGTGTCTATGTGTGGGCTCGCGCAGACTCCAGCAGCTGCATGCAGAACTCTTGGTTCAGTGGGAGCGCCAGTCGGGAGGGCTGCAGGGCCACCAGGTGATCCAGCGCCTGCAGGATGACATTCGCACCGTCACCAGCTGGAACGAGCACTCGGTGAGACGCCCTTCGGCTGCCCACTTTCGACGTCGCTTCGCAATGAATGTAAACGCGTCTCCGACGTGTTTACCGGGGTTGCACTGTGTGTCGTTCGGCACGATGTCCGACGTTTCGTTCCAGGTGCCCGGGTGCAAAAATGTCGGAGGTCATGCCAAAAAGCACGCGGTAGCAACTTAATGACGCATCGGAGAGCTTGACAGCGAAACCATAAAAAAAAATCGGTAGGATAACTATAAATCTCATGGATATTTTAGGTTACAAGGGTAATTTGTGCTTAGAATCACGGTTTTTTTTTTAAATACATTACTGGATGAGGACCCTCCCTATGCCATGTAGGCTTTCGAGGTTATTTGAACACACTTGACCGTGCCGGTCAGTGAGGGTCAGTAAAGGTGGAGAGCATAGACACGGAGGTGCAGAAGTACGGTACAACAATGGGTGTTGCAACACTGCTCCCTGCGGCTCACCACGTAGCGCTGTAACACCGATGTCAGCCTTCCTGTGTGTAGAGCGTCACCCACCCAAGCACAATCCTGGCCCATCCCCGCTTGAGTTTCTGAGATCTGGTGAGATCGGGTGCATTTTGGGTGAATTTTTTTTAATGATTGTTGAACTTCTTTCGCACTGTACGTAGCCAACCATGCTCATCGGAGGTGCGGGGGAAGGTTTACTAAATGGTCCGTAGCTTGTGTTGCGTGGCCACAATCACAAAACTATGGTTTGTCTCTTATGTATATCCATGTCTCTATGGGTCTCTACAGTATGTGTCTCTATTAGTCTATATCACCACGTGTATCTGTGTATCGCTATGCACCTGTGTATATCTCTGTGGGTCGATGTGTGTCCCTATGGGTTTAGTATATGGTCCACAGTTTCATTTGCACGGCCACAATCGCATTACCGTGGCTATCCCACTAAGACTGTTCGAACAGGAGGCCACTTAACCTGCGCCTGCCAGTTTTAATGTTTAATGAGTGGCGTCGTGACGTCATGGCGATGATGATTGATGACGACGTAGCTGAAGTTGGTCCCGGAGCACGAGCAGTCGCGCGTCATGGCCTCGCTGGAGAAGCATCTGGCCGAGTTCACGGCGGCGGCGCAAGCGGGCGGCTGGGTGGGAGTGGGCGAGCGCTTCAAGGTGGAGAAGGAGGCCGAGACGGCGCGCCAGCACTACCAGGCGCTGCTCAGCAAACTCCGCCGAGGTACCGCCCCCCCCCCTCCCCCCTCCACCCTCCCCCCGCCCTGCGCGGTGTGCGACTGTCATCATCTGCGGATGTTCACACGTACGATCTCTTGACGTATCCGTCGGGTGCCTCGGTTGATGCCCAGCGAGTCGGGTGTGCGACGTTGCGATGCGCGGCTCTTTACCGTTCGACTCTGCCCGCCCAGAGTCCGAAGAGGAGCAGCGTCTGCAGGAGCTCGTGAGGCAGCTGAGCAGGAATCGGCAGAAGATGGAGGACTTTGAGAGACTCATTGTCCAGAAGATCCACGTGCCCGTCACTCGCTGCTCGGAAAATGCCCAGCGAATCTCAGAGTTGCAGGTGTGGCCTCGTGACCGTGAGCCCTCGGTCTGATTGCAGCGGCGTGGTACGCTTGCCGTTGCCAAGCCGAGACTTAAGGCTCATTTGTTGTTGCGCACGTATGCCTAAGGAAATATATCTCTTGTACCTATTATACCCAACCCCTTTTCATGTTTTTAGTTTCCTGTTGAAGGGTCTAGGTACGCTGGTTACATTTGGACGCTTTATAAATATACATTGTTCTGTGCTCATATTTACATGAGTGCGAAAATTGGCAACGACTGTATGACCCCCTTTGCCAGAGCTGCAGGTGTGTAGTTCAGCACATGCACTATCCTGTAACGCTAATACCCTGGTCTCATGTAATGTTATTATAGGCGAAAGTGTTAAATATCTGTGAACTTTTGCAGTTGAAAGTTCCACACCTTAAATACTCAGTTTGTTCCTGACCTTCTACCCAGAATTAATTCATGTTCTAAATCTATTCTCATCTCCCAACTACAAAAAAACAAGAGGAATGGGAAGAAGTCTTTACACTTGTTTAAAACCCCACAATAAGATGAGCACGGTGAAATGCGTGTTGCTCAGAGTTGTATTCTACTGTAGTCAAGGGTTGTAGGGTGTTACATGAATCATCATCGATACGATAGATCCCAGGTTTCTTATGGTCAAGATTGAGCACCCACTCCCTGCCAATGAAAATTACTCGAGTAAGTGCTGTGACTGAAATACCGATTCACAGAGGGATACACGTGAAACGTACTGCGGTTGTTGGTCGCTGTAGATTGTACGCCATTCTCATCTGCTTCTGATGTATGCCCGAAGAGGACAATTACCGCTGACACACAGAGGCTGAGGTGGCAGGATGTAGCCAGTCATGGTTCTCAATGAAATCTCTAAGTTATGGGGGGCGCACGTGCAGTTTCACAGAAAAATAGCGCAGGGCAGAAAACCGTACGTGTCAAACAAACACAACAACGATGTGTAGGATTCACTCAGCCTTTGTGCATTACCAAAATCAACTCAGCAGTACCCGCAGAAGTACATTGTTTATCATCTTATCTTGGGCCACCATCAAAAATAAATGTACGTTGTATGGACGTTGAACTTCTTTCTTTCGCACCGTGCGTAGCCAACCGTGAGTGACTAACAGGCATGGTTCCGGCCACTCCTCACCACTCACCACCTCACGTGGCAGTACAGCACTGACAAAGCCGCGTCCACACTGACGACACTCGTGACGCCCGCGTTGCGCCGCTGCGTTTTGCGACCCGCAGAGGGCCCACCAGGACGTGGAGGGTTTGCGAGCATCGCTGGAGGACGTGCGCTCCCTGGGTCTCGGGGGCCCCGGCGCCGCTTCCCTGGCCCCGGAGCTGGGCGCTGCCTCCCAGAGGCTCCACCAGATCCTGAACCTCTCGTCGCACGCCACTTCAGAGTGAGTCTCTTCACTCGAAAAACAAAAAAAACTTTTTTTTTTTTTACGTTTTACCAATTGAGGCACCGCTGAGCTGTACAGCTCTTTTTTTTTTTTCAGAAGAGACCCGGCTGTCACAAATGATTGTCTCAACGACGTGGCTTATCGCGCGGAAACGTATCGCGCGGAAACGTATCGCGGCCAAATGCTGTAAACGCGCGTTGATTCAAAATGTGGAGAGAAAAAAAAGCCGAAGGAAAAATTCACGTGACCACTGGGAGAGAGGCGTGCAAATTCCAAATATAGAGACATCATGGTCGGGATCGAACCCACGACCTCCTTTATACCAGATGAGGTCGTTGACATCTCGCCACCGTGGCAAGATGTCAACTAGGTGCCCTGCTGGTTCAGGGCCTGCCTCAAGATAAAAAAAGATGAGCTCACTCCGGCTTAGGGACTTCAAACTGTGCAGCTCAGCATCCGCTGCGTGGTTATGATTGGAGTTGTGTGGGGAGGGTAATGCACCAGATAGTCTCGTGGTCATTTATAAGTAAAACTGGAATAAATTATGAAAGTAATGCAGGTAGTTTTTTTTTTTTCATGAAATCCACACCGAGTCTCAAGACTGTTGTTTGTTTCGGAAGTGTCTAGATCAGTGGTTCTTAACCTGGGTTCGATCGAACCCCAGGGGTTCGGTGAGTCGATCTCAGGGGTTCGGCAGAGCCCCTGCCACGGAGGTCCGGACACACTTGAATTATTGTGTAAATGTGTGATGACACACACGGCCCGCTTGGCCATCACTGGCTGCAGATGATCGTGCTACACTGCTTGGCCAATCAGCGCTGCGGGGAATTTAGTGCATACTCAGTAGTCAACGTGTGACTGTTGTTGTCGTACGTCGTGTGATTTCTTTAATATTTTATCCATACTAACTATGTCGGGCAAAAGAAGAAAGTGGTCGGACGAATATGTACAACATGGATTCTCATGTATCACGGAACATGATGGGAGTGAGCGTCCTATCTGCATGATTTGCAACGCCAAGTTGAGCAACTCTAGTCTTGCACCAGCAAAACTAAAGGAACACTTCTTGAAGCTGCATGGAGACGGGGAATACAAGAACACAACACTTGCTGAATTCAGGGTGAAGAGAGCCAGATTCGATGAAAGGGCCACTCTGCCTGCTCTTGGATTTGTACCTGTTAACAAACCGATCCTGACAGCCTCGTACGAAGTTGCTTACCTGATCGCAAAGCAGGGCAAGCCACACACCATTGGTGAAACACTTGTGAAACCAGCTGCATTAAAGATGGCGAATCTGATACTCGGAACAGCGGCCGAAGGTAAATTATCCCAAATTCCCCTTTCAAATGACACCGTCAGTGACAGAATAGAAGACATGAGTAAAGACATCTTGGCTCAAGTAGTCGCGGATCTGATTTCAAGCCCGGCAAAATTCAGCCTTCAACTCGACGAAACCACAGACGTTTCTGATCTAAGCCAGCTTGCTGTTTTTGTACGCTATGTGAAAGACGACATGATAAAAAAAGAGTTTTTATTTTGTAAGCCTCTTACAACAACAACGAAGGCAGCCGATGTGAAGAAGCTTGTGGATGACTTCTTCAGAGACAACAATCTTTCATGGGATATGGTTTCTGCAGTTTGTACGGACGGAGCTCCAGTCATGCTGGGAAGAAAGTCTGGTTTTGGTGCGCTAGTAAAGGCCGATGCACCACACATCATTGTGACGCATTGTATTCTGCACAGGCATGCGTTGGCAACAAAAACCTTACCTCCAAAAATGGCAGAAGTATTAAAAACTGTGGTGGAATGTGTGAACTATGTGCGAAAAAGTGCTCTGAGGCACCGCATCTTCAGTGAGCTGTGTAAAGAAATGGGCTCTGAATTTGAGATACTTCTGCTCCATTCTAATATTCGGTGGTTATCCCGGGGACAGGTGCTGAATCGTGTTTTTGCCATGCGTGTGGAATTAGCCCTGTTTTTGCAAGAGCACCAACACTGCCATGCAGATTGCTTCAAAAATCCTGAGTTCATTCTCATTTTAGCGTACATGGCTGATATATTCGCAGCTCTCAATCATCTCAATCAGCAGATGCAGGGTGGTGGAGTCAATATCATGGAAGCGGAAGAACACCTGAAGGCTTTTCAAAAAAAGCTACCGTTATGGAAACGACGAACAGAGAACAATAACTTCGCAAACTTCCCGCTTCTGGACGACTGTGCAAGTAAGATCGAAGATGTGTCTGGAATCGGAGATATTTCTGTATCCACGGAACTGAAGCAAACAATTGCCACGCACTTAGATGAGCTTGCAAAGTCTCTCGACGGATATTTCCCTACAAGAGAGTCATATCCAGCATGGGTGAGACAGCCGTTCACGTTTGCTGTTGAAACAGCAGATGTCAATGATGAATTCCTCGACGAAATCATTGAAATTCAGCAGAGCCAGGTTCAACAGCAACTCTTCAGAACAACGCTCTCAACGTTTTGGTGTCGACAAATGAACAAGTATCCAGTTATTGCTAAGAAAGCCCTGGATTTTTTTTATACCATTTGTTACAACATATCTTTGTGAGCAATCCTTTTCGAGGATGCTGGACATAAAAACGAAGAAAAGGAACAGACTTTGCTGTGAAAATGACATGAGAGTGGCACTTGCCAAGGTGAAGCCACGCATATCTGAACTGATCTCTCAAAGGCAACAGCAGAAGTCACATTGATTTCCAGGTATGTAATTTGTTGTGAGTTTATGCATTGTGTTGGTTTTATTCTTTGAACAAGGTAATGTTCATGCACGGCTCATTTTGTGTACCAGTAAAAAACATATCTATGTCTTGAATTTGAAAAAAATCACATTTTATTTTTCACTAAAGAGGGGTTCGGTGAATGCGCATATGAAACTGGTGGGGTTCGGTACCTCCAACAAGGTTAAGAACCACTGGTCTAGATTCTGGTGTTTGGCCAACTTTGATTATGAGCAGCATACTCGGAGAACACACACACACACACAACACTAAAAACCCAGCCAGAGATCACTCTCCCCTGTGCTAAACAGAGTTGATGGACGAACGAATAAGCCCCCGGGATCTTGACTCAAAACCAATCCCGACACCCTCATGAGATCAGCCAAATGCACAGTCACCACTGGCCTGGTTGGCAACGGCAGCCACCGCTCACCTTGCAGAAAATGGGGGAGGGGGGGGGCAAGGGGGGGGTTAAAGTTGGGGGGGTGTCAGCGCTCGCCTGATGGAAACTTGGAAGCGCCGGTCACTCGAGGTGCCCTCCCACCCACCTCCTGTCCGTGGCAGGGTGCAGGCCCTGCAAGCGGCCCTGCAGGACGCGGAGAGCCTGGAGCCGCGCCTCGTGGAGCAGGAGCACAAGCTGGCGGAGGAGAGCGTCGCGCCCGGGGACGTGCCCTCCATCCTCAACGCGCTGGACCGCCTCAAGGTAAGGGGTTGGTGGGGGGGGGGGCCCTCTTCCTGCTGTGCACGCCGTCTCGGGAGAATTTCCTCTCATGCCGCAGAGCTAACTGGGCCGCGCCGAGGCCGTGCCGGGCCAACCCAACCCCGGTACGGCTCGGTTTGTTTTCCACCGCAGATTACCGGGCCGCGCCGCTGAAAGTCGCACGCGGCGAACGATCCGATTAACCCCGCACCCCTGGCCCTGCTTGGCCCGAGCCAGATTCAAGGCGCTGAATAAATGACGTTTAGATAAGAAAAAATATTTTGCACCCCTTGCCCCTTTTTTCCATTCCCCCCCCCCGCCCCCCATATAAACTTTCATATCCCTGCTCCTCGTGTTCCCCAACTGGTTGCGGCAGTGAGCCCAGTTTTCCCCCTTCACTGGGCCCTGTCGCGTCAAGCTCGGGACTGCTGTTCGCAGGAATTTCTGTTCCCCCCTCCCACCCCCCCTCCGTTTGGTGATCGGATCGGTGCTTTGCATCGGGCTCGCGTGGAGTTGCAAAGAAAAAAATTAGGAGATGTTTTGTGAGGCTAGCATTTCACAGTTTAGTTCTGATTTGGTTCGACAAAGAGCCAATAGAAAACCACACGTACTGTGAGGGACACGCGCTGGCACGGGTTGGCTGTGCCAGTGGGAAAGCATTGCAAAAGCGGGGTTGACCAGCAGCTCCTGCGGTTTCACCCACAACAACCGTACAGAAGTGCTGGCATTTATTTTCACGCAAAATTACGACCCATAACCACACAGCGTGGCTATTGACGTTCACACTCCCGTTGTCAGTGGTGCTACTTTGTCAGCAGAGAGCGGTGCAGCATAGGCCGGTGTTGTACCGTACCGTGCTCCAAGGCCTATGCTCCCTCCGCAATTCCGCCAAACCCGAAACAAGGGCGGCTCGCGTTTGCTCGCCGAGCGGCGGTTGCATCACGTCGCCCACCCGTCCGTCCACGTGGATCGCAGGACATGGAGCACAGGATGCACCAGGAGAAGGAGGGCTTCCCGCGGCTGGAGGGGCACGTGCGGGAGGCGCGCGCCGCCAACGACGAGCTCATGCACGCGTGCGGCCAGCGAGACCCCAACCCGGACGCGGTGCGGGAGCGCGCCGACGACTTCCAGCGCCGCTGGGCTGCCATGCGCGCCCAGATCGACAGCAGGTGCGGCGCGGGCACGCGGACGCTCGCGCGCGGCGCGGTGCCGTAGGCACAGCCGTCGGGCCCGCAACGTGTCGGCCTCGGTCTGGCGTGGCGCGTGCCTGAGATGGCCCGGTGCAGGCGGTGGGCCCCGGCGTGCGTTGTTCCGTGCCCGATGTTCGCCAGGCGGTGCCCGTTGCGAGCGCTAAGGGAAATCCTGAGCTCGCTCGTGCGCTTCGACGTCAATGTGGCTCGCAGTGAAAGTGTTCAGCTGCAACTCCGTGGGGCTTGCAAGCTTTGGCTGGGGGACGATTGAGCCCGAGCCAGTGGTGTGCGGTGGCACCCGGTCAGATCGGCAGTAAGCTCCACCTCGGGTGTTGTGATAGCGGCACTCTGGAGCTCGCTCTTGTGAATGCCCTTCCACCAGCAGTGGCGTGAGTTAGCAATTGCAGGGCTGCTCCTTTGCCTTTCACCCCTTTATCATCTCCGCTTGCTCTCGCAACTCGCGTCACACGTGTCTGTATGTTGAACTTCTTCCGCGCCGTGCGTAGCCAACCGTGCTAATTGGAGGTGCGGGGGAAGGACAACAAATTGAAGGCAAAAAAAAATCAGTTCTCAAGGAATGAGTTTTCAATGAATGAACATGACCTGTGGACGCTGTGCCGTGGTGGACCTGCACACGTCTGGCCCTTCCGCTCCCGTCCACAGGAGGCAAAGCCTGGAGCAGATGCGCGGCATCCTGCAGTCGTTCCGTGGTAGCCACGAGGAGCTGAACCGCTGGCTGGACGAGAGCTCCATCTGGCAGGAGAAGATCCAGCACATGAAGCCTGACAACTGTCAGGTCATCAACGACACCATTGAGCAGCTCAAGGTGTTGTGAACATTTCCTCTGCTGCATGATCTTAATGTCATTTGGAACGTGTGAGGTGCAACGTTTTTTTTTATGTAATCCAAAGTCTGCGCTCCCCTGCCTTCACTGTGCTACTAACCCGGCCACCCGTGTTGGATTCCCGGCCATGGCTAACATCGGAACCAGTTTCTAAACCGCTGCAAGCAACCAGCACGTGAGAGTATGGTCACGTGACCCCGCTACGACGCGCACAGCATATACTTCCGTGCACGTTTCCTAAAGACCGTGACGCTGCCACGTTTCAGAAATTCCTGCCGAAGATCGAAGAGAATGAATTGAAGTTGAATAAGTGCAAGGAGCTATCGGAGCAGTTTGCGGCCACTCTGAAGGTAAACTTGGCTCGCACGACACAGGTGTGCCGTGGTGGCGAGATGTTCATTAACTCACCTGGCATGCAGGAGGCTGTGGGTTTGATCCTGACGCCTGTATATTTGGAGTTTGCGTATATCTCCCTGTGGTCCCGTGGATTTTTCTCCGGGTCCTCCGGAAGGGTCTAGGGAGCACCTCTTGAGGGGATTATTGGCCTAATTGCCACGAATTTGCAAACTCCAATTAATTTATTAGGGTTTCCGAGTTTGACTGTGCTTACAAAAATGACCTTGCATTTTCCTAAGCTAACATTGCAACGAAATTAGCATGTCCTTGAAGGTCCTCATATGATTTACTGCAATTTTTTTTCGGCCTCAGGTAAATGCCCAGCTGTCCGGCCATGTGATTGGTGCATACCGTGAGTTGCAGGATCAGTGGCGGTTTCTGGCTTTTGTTTCCCTCAGGACCATGATGTGCTCCTCATGAGCTTCAGGAGAGTGGCAGGCGGCCAAGATCTTCAAGGCCGAAGGGAGAAGCCCGCCAATGACATCATCAAGCAGGTGGGATGTTACATCGTCCGGCACATTCACTTTTGGGACATTTTTAACGACGTAAAAGCCTATTCACGGCAACCGTCACTGGGAAATAATATCGATGTGTTTTTTGAGCCTCTGCTTTCAAATCGGCACACGTGTGAGCTGTTGCACGATAACACAGTCATAGCTTACCCGCAGTTCGATTAATGTCGTTTAAGTTGTCGAGAGAGCTAAAAACTCTGTGTGTTCGCGATGCAGTATGTGGACATCTACACCCGCTTCACATCTATGAAGACGACGATCTACGAATATCTGAAATTCCTCAATGGAATAATTTTACCGCTCCGTGCCGATGAGGTTGGTTGGATGTCTGATTTAAAACGCGTCGTTTCTCTCCGATTAAGGTTTGTGTCAAACCCATTGTAAGCGGGTCGTGCGATGTACCCCGCAGTCACCACCAACACAATTAGGGCTTCTCATTAATCGTCATTCTCCGGTGGGGTTTCGCTTGCATTTCTTCGTGTACAACTATTATTAATACAATTGGGTACCTTTTAATTTCACTCCCAATATCAAGTTATTGACATGAAGCGTTTTCACAGCAGTTTATTACACTTGCACAGAATATTCGTTTGACAGCTCATTTCCAGTCCGTTGCAAACGTAGCCCGTGCAGAGGCGAACTTCCGCTGACGCGAAGGCGATCGCGTAAACGCGCCCCCCGCCCCCCCCCCCCCGACCCGGGGACTTTTGTGCGCTCCCCTCAGTTTCTGAAGGAGGCTGGAGAGATCGAGACGTCGCTGCGGTCCCGGAAGGAGGCGATCGGCCGCAAGTACGCCTGTGACCGCACGGCCAGCGTGGCTCGCCTCGAGAGCCTGCTGGAAGACTGCAAGGCAAGGGCCCGGGGGGAGGACACGGCGCTCACCCCGCACCGCTCGCGCAATTCCCCCGCCGGCTCTCGACCTCCTCGCGATTTCTTGACGCCAACGCTCAAACGCCTTGTTGTGTTGTCTCCCGTCGTGTGCGCTTTCCGCTTCCTCCAAAGGAGGAGCAGAGAAACGTCCCCGATAGGGAACTGCAGAGGCGCTTTAACGCATTAGCGGAGAGGGCCAAGGTTCCAGCTGAGCACGAGGCGGTGTCCCGGTAAGGAATTGCACCGCCACGACTCCGTTTTTCGGTATCAACCTTCGCTCTGTCATTCTCATCGACGTGCGTTTGGCATCCTCGCGGCAAGCGTATGCCGAGCTGCGACGAACGCGCTTTTGTCCCTGCGCGTGTGTGCGAATCTTCTCCCGCGTGATCTTGCGCGAGGCAGCATCAAGCTGCTCTTTGCCGAAATCCCCAAGCAGCTGCAGGAGACACTGGGCAGCCTGCAGGGTGCCCTTGCCTGGCAGCGCGTCAGGAAAGACATCACCGTCATCCAGGCCTGGAACCTCGACTCGGTGGGTGCAGCCACCCTGCCCTGAATGCCCTCTTAAGGAGTGGCGATGCGGGGGCAACTAGTGGTGAATGGTACAATGCCTTCATTGTCCGATGGAAATTACTCCTGGTGTTGTTCGTGCGGTTCATCATTAATCACCTGCCCCTTGACTGCTTCGGCTGTGGTGGCGCCTATCATCCCGCTGCTGTCAACGTCCTCCACTGTTGCCGCGTATTTGTGTGGTTATCTGCATATTAAATTGGATAATAGGATACATCTTCCACCACCTTTGGGTGACCATTCCAATTTGCGGAAAGGTATGCATAATAGGATTATTTCACGCTGATGAGAGACCACTTCTGGATGCATCAGCTGCAGATAAAAGTAGATAATGGTATTTATTTCCGAGTGACTCCTCGCATCAACAGAAAGGTGCCGACGATAGACCCCTGATGCTCGGATAGTGGGCCTTTCACACGGATCGATTGAGAGTGCGAATAAAAGTAGCCGTGGATAACGAAAAAATCTCAACACGTCTCGTCAACATCATCGCCCTCGAGAGAGGAGGAAATAACAAGATAGGAGGCGTCGCGAGCAATGTCGAGAGAGAGAGATCTTCTGCATAGTAGAGCGAGAGGGACGGAGGGTAGCACGGCGATAACCGGCAAAACACCGCTGCGTCCGTCCGACATCAGTTCAAGAAGATGTCGAGCCAGGAGCGGGAGGAGCGCATGTCCGGCCTGCGCGGCCACCACGAGGAGTTCCGGCGCGCGGGGCAGCGGGCGGGCAGCGTGGGGGTCCCCGAGTGGACGTCCGTGCAGGCGGACGTGGAGGCTTGCGAGCGCCGCTACCGGGAGCTGCAGGAGAGGCTGCGCTTGGGTCAGTGGTGGCGCCAACCCCCCTCACCCTCCCCCCCGCCTACACCCCCGGTGGGGCTGCTCACTGCTGTGGTGGGCCCTGGCCCCAGAAAGTCACTCACAGTGTGGCGCACGTTGCTTGTCACTTCACAACCAAGGTTGAATGCACCACTGGAACCTCCTTTGCCAGTAGCGAAATATGATCATTAGTTTTTTAGCTGGCAACAAAACTGACACCTTTTTTTTACAAGCAGTCATGTTGGCATTGACCACAATACCTGCAGTCGGAATGCAAACAAAAAACATAACTCTGATAATGTATTGGCACTGTCCTTGAAATTGATTGGTCCACACCCGAGACAGCTTTCCTTAGAGACTTTTGGCGTCATCTGGTCCAACACCCACGTGAGACTAGGCACCACGTGAGACTAGACACCACGTGAGACTAGGCACCACGTGAGACTAGGCACCACGTGAGACTAGGCACCACGTGAGACTAGGCACCACGTGAGACTAGGCACCATGTGAGACTAGGCACCACGTGAGACTAGGCACCACGTGAGACTAGGCACCACGTGAGACTAGGCACCACGTGAGACTAGGCACCACGTGAGACTAGGCACCACGTGAGACTAGGCACCACGTGAGACTAGGCACCACGTGAGACTAGGCACCACGTGAGACTAGGCACCACGTGAGACTAGGCACCACGTGAGACTAGGCACCACGTGAGACTAGGCACCACGTGAGACTAGGCGCCGCGTGAGACTAGACACCACGTGAGACTAGACACCGCGTGAGACTAGGCACCACGTGAGACTAGGCACCACGTGAGACTAGGCACCACGTGAGACTAGGCACCACGTGAGACTAGGCACCACGTGAGACTAGGCACCGTGTGAGACTAGGCACCGCGTGAGACTAGGCACCGCGTGAGACTAGGCACCGCGTGAGACTAGACACCACGTGAGACTAGGCTCTAAGGAAAGCTGTCTCGGGTGTGGACCAATCAATTTCAAGGACAGTGCCAATACATTATCAGAGTTATGTTTTTTGTTTGCATTCCGACCGCAGGTATTGTGGTCGGAATGCAAACATGACTCCTTGTAAAAAAAGGTGTCAGTTTTGTTGCCAGATAAAAGGGTAAAAAAACAATTATTATTATTATAAAAGTGTTGTTAAATCCGGCGCCACCTGACACACCCAATTAGTAAGGTTTGTCATGAAAACAGAACATGCCAATTCTAGTTCAACCACAACCAAGGTTGAATGTGTGAACGCGTTCACTTCCCCCCCCCCCGCTCAGTCTGTAAGAGGGGGTTGGTGTTGGTGGGAGGGCGGTCATGGTAACTAATGTAAAGTTGACCCAACATTAATGCATTTTCTTTCATCAATTTGACTTACCATAAAGGACTTACCGGACATAAGTCTTAGAGATGATAACGAGCGCCAAAAGGATTCATAATTTACAGAGACGTCGTTGCGTGTGACATCATCTCGCAACCTTACGTGCCTTCCGCCGCGTCATGCCACCTTATCGTTTCTTACCTTTCCCACCTCACCACTTGCATTCTTTAATTGCCCTGCCATTTGGTCCTTTTTTTTTAAGTGGTAATATCCAAGTTGTCATTGTGCTTCAAATTAATGTTAATCTGTTGCTTAGCATTAAGTCAAAATTCTGATACCTTCTGACGTTTTTACTCATGCCTTGCTAACTACAGCGGAAACAAATCCAGGTTACCTAACTCAAACAAATACTACCGGTAGACATTAACGTGGCAAGCCTTTAAGCCAGTCTATTACACGTTATATATGTATTGAAAATTGATGAAAGCCCTTTTTGGCTTTTTCGAAAATGAAATACGCTGTGAACATTCCATTGAGTGCATGCAATACTCGCACGCTGTGTGTTTTGTTTTTTGAAGAATCGGAGCAGAATGCCATGTGCAAGAAGACGGTGGGCAACCTGCAGTCCATGGGGTCACGCATGGACACGTGCAGAGAGAGGATCTCGCTCATCATCCGAAAGATCTTCCACAGCAACCCGGCCGTGGAGAACGCGCAGAGAATTCGTGAAATCCAGGTGTGTGTGTGTGTGTGTTGTCCAACAGTATGAATAGAGGTGTTAACCTAAAGTCAATTGATCGAATTATTCAGTTACCTGGCATCAGCCGAGTGATTCTTGACAGCAGCCGCTAGAATGAGGCTTTGTTGGTGCCGATCCAAGAACAGGCTTGGTTAACATGACTCTTTAGGTTTTTGCGGGGCTGTGCTGTACAGCTTTTCGGCGTTGTACCGCTTATTATTTGCTACGATGGCCAACACTTCTACATCCCGGAAGCCTCTTCCGGAACGTAGTCGTGCCCAACGACACGCGACGTATAAAACCCTGACAAACACACCGGAGATCATTTTTCGAGAGCTGCTCGAGTGAGGTGTTGTCAGATGCCCGTGCAACGACCAGGCTCGGTTTTTTTTTACTTTGTTACAACAAAACGCGAGCCAGGCACAGCACGCCGAAAAATTCCAGCAACGAGGCACAGAAAATGTACGGCGCTGCAATCCGGCGCGACGGAACCATGCGAAGGGGGTAGGGGAATGAGGGGGAACGGGGGCACCGCGCAGCGACCAGGCTCGCTCAACGATCCCGGCCCTCCACTCGCTCTGCAGGATCTCCGCCGTGAGGCCGAGCAGGCGAAGGTGGACTACCAGCGGATGAAACAGGAGTGCCTGGCGGTGATGGCGGCCGCTCACCAGGTGGAGGGGCGCTCCTCCATGAACGAGCTGCTGCAGGCCAACCAGAGGAAGGTGGACGAGGCGTGTGGCCTTGCAGCCGTCGCCACGGACGTGTGAGTTCCCGTTGGAGCGGTGGTTCACCCCTGACCCTTCCCCCACCGGGTGTGACATGCGGAACCCCCTCAGGGCGACGCGCGACATGTCTGTGGAGTACGCGAGATGATTCACGGAACGTTTATCCATATTAACCATAAATATACGGCACCTGCTTCACATTGGACATCTCGCCAACGGTGGCGAGATGTTAGCTATCTCGCCTGGTATGCAGGAGGTCGTGGGTTCAATCCCGACCCTGACACCTGTTGTATATTTGAACTTTATGGTGGTACCCCGGCTCTTGCATAATGTCGGCGATGCAGTCATTTTTAGTCTGTTGATGGTCGGCGATGCGGCAATCGACTCATCTCGACGAGCCGTACACGATGCACCACCACGTTGCGTACGAGCGTTTGGAGTTTCAGCGCGATCGCCCTCGCTGCGTTTCGACATCGCGGAGTAGCACCACCGATTTCGGATCGATTGGTATCCCAGTCGCAGAGTTAGGTACACCCCCTGGACAAAATAGTGTCCCGTAAATAAAATATTTAATTGCTTCGGCCATTTTGTATTATTTGGTACCCCGGGGTACCGCCATAAGGATCAGTTGGAGTTTGCATGTTTGATCACGTTTAGAAACGTGTTTTAGAGCATTGGCTGCTATACATTCACACACGATAAGCCACTTTGCTGAGCTATCATTTGTGGCCAGGTCGCTTCTGAAAAAGAGCTGTACAGCACAGTGGGCCTTACCTATTAAAATGAAAATAGTAGTTTAAATAGTTTTTAATTTTAAATAGTTTGAAAATTAGAAGGCCATTTATGTGGGCGTCATGGGTGGTCCATATTTACAAAATGTGCTTAAATGGGCAGAACCAAATAGCGACATTGCCCCCTGCTGTAATAATACTGCTGACTCTAATCGTCTGTGAAACACTGCGCCTTCATGATAGCCTTGCGCTGTCAGTATGGCACGAATACCAAATGTTCCAACGATTCATTATGTTTGTTTTACGATTTTCTATGTTCGTGTTTCCGACACGTGGTACATTCCAAACAATAACCACACTGCCCATCGTTACAGGTCTACGCTTCGTTGTTGACAGAGCTTATTGTTGGCATTTCAAAGAGTTGGCCGTTTGTTCCCACGAACGTTTTATGTGAATTGTTTTTGTTTTATTGGCCCAGGTTCCAGAAGATAGACTTTGTCGTAAAGAACACGGAGCGAGCAGAGTCCCAAGTGAAGGATTACGAGAGGAGACTGTGTGAAGAGGAATTGCGTGCATGCGACGCCAACGGCATCAAGACTCAAATCAACCACATCAAGGTACAATCACACCAGCCTAGCTTTTCACTGTACGTAAAGTTTTATTTTCAAAACTATGCCCTGGATAATTTTTGTTTTAAATGTCTTGTCATTAAAATAAAGCCGATTTTTAGTTTGTTTGTTTTTACTACTTGATTGCCACTTGATTGCTATCAATGATTAGGGCACCACATTATGAGCCCGGAGACCTGAGTTCAATCTCTGGCCATGGCTAACATCAGGGGTGAATGATATCAGAATTGTGGTCCCTGTGCCCCTCTCCACCCTCACCACTGCACACCGAGCAGCATGGTAAAGTGTGGTCAAACATCCCCCATGATCAACATGGTGTGCAGAGGCGAGGCCTTCGTGGTAGCAGTAGACTCTAAAACATATCAGTAGATAAACTGGAAAACTCTTTAGAAGCCTTCATAAGTTTCCCAATGTTATTCCTATTGTACTATTGGCATGATGTCAAGAGGTGAATGTTCCGTTTAAAATTCATTGAAAGCAATGCATTACCCCATTTTATAGATATAATTGTGGAAGTAAATATCATAGGACTACTGCAGAGATCCCTTGAAGTGACCTATTTTATCCATACTCGAAGGTGATGCACTTTCCCACACATCCTACACAGGAAAACTTTGCCAAATTAAACATCTTATTTATTTGAGAGATTTTTGTTCAGTCATTGGTGATGGGAATGAGACTTTGTTAATTGTGGGTGACTACCCAGATTCAAACTCAGGCTCTTAACATTGGTGGCCCAAAGCTCTGATTCCTGAAAAACGTCAGTGCCTAATTTTTCATGAAATTTAAAAGTTTATAAAGCTGCTTTTGTTTTCTTATGTTGATATTAGCCTGCTGGGAAAAGGCCTCCCCCATTTTCTTATATTCTTTCCTTTCCTCAGTTGTTCCTGGCCAGAAGTGACCTCTGACCTCTGTGATATTTTCTCACCGACATATCTTCCACTGTCTTCCTCTGCTTCTATTGCCATCTCTTGGTGTTTATGTGGACACAGTACGTAGCCAACCGTGCTTATCGGTGGTGCGGGGTAAGGACAACAAACTAAGCACAAAAAGCAGTTCTAAAGAAACGAGTTTTCGATCTAGATTTAAAAGTGCACAGCTCCAGTGGCTTCCTAATACCAAAAGGAAGAGGCGTTCCAGACGGCCGCAGATCTTCACTCCGTAGTCACTCCGCTTTAAACCACTCGTCGACATTTTCTTACTTGGGCACTGGGCGGCCCTTCAAACGTAAGGGTCTCCGGGCACCTCTCCTACCCACGTGTTTCCGTCATGTACTAATAACCCGACGCCCATCGCTGCAGCACCTGGAGAGGCAGGCGGCCGAGAACCAGTGGGCCTTCCAGGAGCTGGAGCGGCAAGTGGAGGCGGCACGCTCCTCCAACGACAAGATGCACGCGGCGCACGGCGAGCGCGACGGCAATCTGGAGCGCTACGGGGGCAGGGCCGACGACATGGTCAAGCGCTGGCGCCAAGTGCGCGCGCACGGCGTAGAGTGGTGGGTGTCTACGATTGAGAGGGCAGGGTCCCGCAAAGCCGTTGCCGGGTTTTTGCCGCCGGCACAGGCTGTGGCTGGGTATGTGCGCGTTGAACTTCTTTCGCACCGTACGTAGCCAAGTCTGCTGATCGGAGGTGCGGGGGAAGGACGATAATCTAACACACGCAAAAAAAAAAGCAAGGCTGCTCGACTCCTTCTTCCCGCAGGATGAGTGCCTAGGATGATGGGGTGAGTGCCCGTTGAAATTGCAGGTCGATTTGATCTCCCCGTGTGGCAGCTGAAACGACGGGTAGACCAGAGTCAGCCCACCGGCAGGTTGCGTGTGGTGGGATAAAGTGTGGGTACTCTGACACGCACGCTTCCAAGACATCTGGCGAGCGTGAAAGGGTTGGAAAACTTACCCGAGAGAGGGGTCCCATCGAGCTCCATCTACTGGTGGCGTCCTTCCCCCCGTACCCGCCGATGAGCACGGTTGACCACGTACAGTGCGAAAATAAAGTTCAACGTACGTACAGTGGCTGCACCTTTACCTCGATGGAGGTTCTCTCGGCATCTGTGCACCGGTTCATGAGAGCAGAGATCCCCCCAAATGCCGAGCTTAAGTGAGAACGTTAGGCCTCTTGACGCTTAGTGGTGCAGTCATTGACGTTCAATCACTTGACACGTTGCCGGTTGGGTGTTTCTTGCTAATGCTTTGAGAGCCTGGGCAATCATTGCACTACTGTCAATAACACTGCCTCGGAAAATATACAGAGTGTATAATAAGGGGACGTTTTGAGCAATGGTAGTGTTATTGATAAACGTGTTTAGTTATTTGTTCTTTGTGCACCAATGGCAAGGCAGTATCACTCTGAGGTTGTTTTAGAAGGCCTCTGTTACCAACACCGTTGCTCCATGCCGCATAGGCAGAGTTTTGTTTGATGTGAAAATTTTGGGGCGGAAGGGTTGGCAAGCAATGGTCCGCAAATTGCCCGATGAACCCTGTGACCTCAGTCCGATTCCCGGCCACGGCTAACCCCAGTGGCGAGTGATATCTGCACCGATTCTGGGCTCCCTCTTCACCCTCCCGTAATGACCAACGTGGTGAAGTATGGTCAAACAGTCCACAGCACCGAAAAGGCTTGAGGAGGCCTTCATCAGGCGGAGCACTGACAAAGGCCCTTATTATGAATTATGAAAGGCCTTTACATTTGATTATGTGAGATAACTCAATGTATTCCTGTTTTAACTGGACAAGAATTGGTGAAAAAAAAGTTTTATAATGGACTGAATCGGTCAAAATCTCTTCGATTGATAACCTGATTTAATCATGGGTGGCCGCCTGAATTCAACCCCATCGCTGCCATGAACGCTTACTCGCCAATATCTCAACCGCTGAGCTCCCTGAGCCACCGGGCTGCGTCCCGGTCAAGGGTCAGCGAGCGACGGAGTTGCCGTGCGCCTCGCTCTGTCTTGCAGCCTCAAGCCGCTGGAGTCCACGCTGCAGTCCATGTCCAACTACGAGCAGTCTCATGTGAGCCTGCGCCGCTGGTACGACGACGTGATCGCTCAGCTCGAGCAGCTCAAGAGCATCAAGGGAGACGACGACCACGAGCTCAAGATGGCCATCGCCCGCTTGGAGGTGCCCGTCACGGCCGCCGTTCCGTCCTTGCCGTTGCTCGATGCAGCAGAGTGCAGCCTCGGTGTTGAGCGTGTGCGGAGTTAACTGGATCGGCCCTTTTCATTTTGGCCGTAGTCTTAGTCAATCGGCGACGGCCCGTGGAAATCTCTCCGCGTCGTAGTCCGTGGATCCTATCGCGCTGTTCTCAGTCTAGTTCACGAGAGCTGTAAACATTTCAATCCAGTCTCTTGGAGTGAGGGGTGCGCACAGCTCGGCCGATCGGCAAGCTCAGTAAATATCTTTCCATCGTATATATCCAATTACCCATTTTTGTCTACTCCTTCGCTGCACTATAGTGTCTAGCAGCTTTGCTGAATGATCTTAGTCGCTGTTTTTATTCAGACGAGTTCACTTTGTCTCATCATTGTTAATCTTGCTGTGGTGTTTGGCGAGTATTTACAGTAATTGTCATGCCTCTGTGCGTGGCAATCTTCCTTCGCCCGTAGACATTGTTGACCGGTGAGTAGATGATAATGATGATGACCACGAGTGGCCGAACATTCCACCTACAAAATCAACACTGGACGTCGCGATGGGTACTGCTAAGCGGGGGCAGCCATCCCTGCCAAGTGTGCCGCCCACAAAGCATCCTGTTTGTTTGCCCCTCTTTGCGTGCCTTTTCAGAAACTTGTGGAAGAGATTGAAAAGAACAACCGCAGCCTCGGCGACTGCCAGAATTATGCTGAGCAGGTCACAGAGACACTGAAGGTAAGCCCCAGGAGTTTGAGGTCCTCATACGCCACGTTCCTCTGTCAGCCACACTGTCAGCAAACAAACGTTTCGGAGCTTAGGCTTTTTTGGTCCTCGGCCCTCAGATCTGGAACGCTCTCGGCCTGAAGAACTGTGCCTGACGACTGAGATTCTCCCATTTAGAGAGAAACTAAAAACCTATTTCCTATGATATGTTAGATAAACTAAAAAGTTCTATTTATTGATTTTTTACATATATTTTCTGTACGGCGTCCTGAAGCCCCTTGTTGGGTCAAATGCGCCTTAAGGCGCCACAGTATGCAGGAGGTTGTGGGTCCGAACCCGTCTCTCACACCTCTATATTTGGAGTTTGCATGTTTCTCTCCCTATGGTCACGTGGATTTTTCTCTGGGTCTTCAGGTTTTTCCCTCCACATTTAAAATCAACGTGCGTTTAGATTATTTGGCCGATATAAATTTACACCCGATAAGCCACTTCGTTGGGTGATCATTTGTGGCTAGGTCGCTTGTGATAAAGACCTATATAGCTCAAGTGGGCCTTACCTGGTAAAATAGTCTTCATAAGTGGAAATTAGATATTGTACCCACGTGTATGCATGATGGCGGTGCTTACCAGTTTCCATTTCAGATTAATTATGTTTTAGTTATACGCTTGTTAACGCAAATTTTGTTTGCGTTCTCTCAGGCTTACGAAACAATTCTGCGCAAGTACCGAGTGCTGCTGACCAAGGATTATGGCTACAACTTGCCACCGCAGAAGAACTTGGTGTACGACGGCCTCCTGAAGGAGGTGAGAGACGGACACAATGATGGCGGCACAAGTTGACCTTAATGCAGACCAAGGACAACAATGCGTTGGCTTGAAGGTCGCGTCCGTGATTCCTTTGCACTTGATTTACGGAGCCCAATGGCATTGGCTCTAAAGTTATCTTGCTGGGAATAAAAAAAATAAGTGTTCTCATGCTCAAATGAATGCTGGACAGCTCTCATCTCCATTGGTGGTCTTGAACCGGCGGTGTAAAGTGAAGTCCGTTCGCCTATAATGCGTGTTTTCATAACGCGAATTGGATCTAACGCGATGTATGTATTTGGAACGCAACGCCAGCGTTATGTGGGAACAGGCTGAATTTTATTCCTATGGTGGGGACCAGTCCGCATTTAGGAACGTGTCATTCTTGACCATATTTCACCACACTGGCCAGTGCTGGTTGGTGTCCACGACCAGTTCACATATCACTCGCCACGGACGTTGGCAATGGCTGGGAATCAAACTCAAGTTTGCCGGGCTCAAAGCACGGTGCGCTAACCACTGCACCGCCGCTCCACCCCGATGATAATTATGTTACGCTTGTCGTCTGATGCACAGTGCAACGTCAATCGAATAAGAGTAGGCCGTGTGTGCCGGCGTCACGATACAAATTTACCAAAATTATCACTTGCTCGCCAATTGCTCAATTGGGCAAAATCCACATAGAATCGCCCCCTCCCCTGCCTACTGGCAGTCTCATGCCATCTTACAGGCTGGTGCTGTGTATATCTTGTACTGCAGAGGGACAGCTGCCACTATATGTATGTTGAATTTATTTCACAACGTACGCGACCAACCGTGCAAATCGGAGATGCGGGGGGGAATGATAACAAACTAAACACAAAAAGCAGTTCAAAATTTGTTTTCAATCTAGATTTAAAAGTGCATAGCTCCAGTGGCTTCCTAATATCGGAAGAAACAGCGTTCTAGAAAGCCGCAAAAGCGGATCCGAAAGCGCATGATGCACTGACCGTCTTTGTTTGATGTCTAGCAGCCAAAAGCCACTGTGAGGATGACCGGGAAGTTTGTGTGATGGTTTATGCTCCTTGACGAGATCGGCGAAGTACTGGGGGGGTCCCCTTCGATAGCCTTCAAGCAGGGCATCGGAATTCTTGACAGTACGAGCAACGTGAAGGCAATTTGAGCCTCCGAGGCACTTTGGCAAGCGCCCTCTCTGCATGCAAATCCCTATCCCTCGTGTGGAATACCCTTGGGCTGACCTCTGCCGCGCGTGCGTTTTAATCACGCCCCCTCGTTTCCCAGTACATGGAGCTGCAGGCTCGTCTCAAGGATCTGGGCGGCGTGATCCACGACCTGCAGGGGAAGCTGCAGGCCAAACTCACGTTCCGCGTGCACCACATCCTCCGCAAGGTCCTCGTCATGGTCGACGGCATCGAGATGCCCCTGATGGACGCCTTCGACCAGGGCCACATCTCCAAGGAGAAGTTCGCCGAGCTCGTCTCCTGGCAGGGAGAGAAGCAGGAGCTGGAGCTCATCAGCGAGGGATGCCAGATCTATTCGGCAGATGGCATCAACTACCAGGCCACGGCCTTCTAAGGCCTTTGGGCCTCGCTGCTAAAAGGCGCCCGGCACTACAGGGCACTCCTGGGCAGTGGGTGGCACTGCTGACTGAGCTGCTCTGTAGGACGATGGCTGATCACGTGGTGTAGCAGGGAGATAAAAGTTCACCATAACTGGGATAGCCTCTAGAGAAGTGGTTTTTCAATCGTTCTTAATCCAGGAACTTCTGTACTGCCAACCCTCACTTTTTTTTTCACAGACCACCATGCACCAATAGCATCTCTTTTGAAAAGACAAAATACTCAAAATCACCGTATGTACAACAGTTCCACAGACCGATTCTCACAGCCTTGCGGACCACCAGTGATTCACGGACCACTGGTTAGGAACCACTTCTGGTGAGGATGCAAGGTTTCGTGTAACAATAACAGTGCTCTCTGTTTACTCAGGACGGACAGCCTCAACAAGCATGAGGATTATTTTCCGGAGGATCCTGCTGCATTGGGATTGCTTGGCCAATTGCATTAATGTGTGTTTGGCTTCACGCGGGCGGTGGACGCCAATCCATAGGGAAATTCCAGCATTCGATGGGATAACAATTTAAAATTCTGCCCAGATCGATTCATTCCACTTGCTGCACTACCATCTCCTGGTCACCTCGCAGCTCAGTGGGTTTGGAAATGTCACAAAGTTCGTGTGATCTGCCAACCACCACCTTCCAAAGTGCCGGACTACAGGCTTGTGCCACCGCACCTGGCTTTAGAAGATAGAGTGCACGTGCTTGATCTGCTTATGGCTCAATGATACGAGCAATGCTGCCTGGTAGATACAATATTGTTTAAACCCGCGGGCTTATGGTGAAAGCAGTCGAGAAACTATAGTGATATTGTTGTGTGGAAGGAGATGGACGCTCAATGGAAGTAGAAAGAATAGTATTTTGAATGCCACAGTAGTATTTCCCGCACCTCCGATTAGCACGGTTGGTTACGTACGGTGCGAAAGAAGTTCAACATACATACATACGTAGTATTTGTCACGGGACGCATGGGAAAGCTCTTGTTTATTGGTTATACGACACCATGCTCTCCTTCTTTGGTGCTTCTGCAAACCGTAGCAAAGGGTTATCACTTGAGGTTTAATCAAACTTAGCGAAGGATTTTATCCGACACACAGGCAGAAACGTAGAAGATAATGCTGGATTCATATATGCTAAGTGTATGCTTTTATTGGGGTGTTTATCGCTGCTTTGAGCATTTTAGGGGATACGCTATTTCTTATAAAACGTTTGGTATGAAAGCAAAGTAGTCAAGCTCTAAAATTACACCCTTTAATTTGTATTGTTTTACTGGCTTCGGTTTTAAAAAGAAATAAAGCAACGCCTCACTGTGTTACTTTAAACGGCTTCTTCGTAAATGGTACAACAAATGACAGTCGTGTAAGCAAAAAATACGTTCCACACAATAAAAGCACAAGACAAAATCGTGGCATACTTTGCACGTCAGGATGACATGTTTTTTTCTGTATATATTTTGTACACGGCGTATGAACAATGTAAACGGAGCTGAGAAATGCGGCCTTTTAATTTTAGGCAGGAGCAGGAGAAGACAACTTGTTTGCTGGTTTCATTGTTATCAGGAGTCGTCATCCTTTGTGCACGAGGGACTTATACTGACAGCGTGCATTTTTCTGACGAATGGGGTTTTCTCGTTGGCTGCAAAAAAATGATTGCATTTGGTTCAACAAAATACAAATAATGGCATTTCCAGTCAAAATTAACCCATTCTTATTTTAACAGATAATGGTTAATTTACAAAAGCTGCCAATTAATGTTATATCAGAAACTGGGAAGCAGTTGGAAAAATGTCAATATCTGAGTTGCACCTCCCAACATTTCTTCGTCGAAATATGTATTTGCTGATATGTGTTTGCTAAAGCCATCCTGGAAACTCCAAAGCAGTAAAATATGTATGTTTTTATTACTGTCATTTTGCAGCACAAATTGACAATCATTTTCCCTCCGCTGCATTGAACATCGACGTACGACATCAAAGGCAACCCCAATAAAATCGTAAAGACAAGTGCCGACTATTTGCAAACCAGGTATCCTGTTTAATATTCAGATGAGGCTCGGGGCTGACGTCTAATTGTTGGTGGCAAGCTGTGAAATGCCAATCCGGTGCACGGACAGCGAATAGCTGAGGGTTGGGTCTGCATATTGCAGCCTGGTGCCGAGTCTAGAGTTTACCGTCAGCTTTCACACCCAAAACCCAAGAGTGCTGTACAGAGCCAGGGGTGGTGGGCTGGGGGGAAAGGCTTCTTGCCTCTGCTGTCTGGCTACATACAGTGCGAAAGAAGTTCGACGTGGATACGTCTGGCCTCAGTGCACCATCGCGGGATTTAGCCCCGAGCATCATCAGTACGAGCTGTGTTGCTCGACCAGTGCCAGCACGACAACAACAAAAAAATCATGGCGTGGGGAACAGGGCAGTCTCCCCACGCGAGCCACTCTTGTTGAGTAAAAAAAAATCACGACGAACGACGTCAACCCTGGCCGACCGAACGTCGAGCCAACGATCTTCCGGCCTCCAGAGGAGCAACTCAGGCCACCGTGACGGGACCAAAGGACCGTGAGAAATACGGCGCGGCAGGTAGAGACGTTTCGCGATGAGCACTTGGCTGCCCCACGTGGAAAACTGCCCGATGACTGCACAACGAATACGGCCGTTATAATGACCGTCACAAAACAATGACGGATTAGAGCCACTTTGAAATACGCTGCTGAATTATTGCCCCTCAGGCCCAGCGGTGGGGGTTGTTTGGCCATACTTCACCACGATAAGTGATGGGGGGGGGGTGGAGGTTGGGGGGAGGCAGGACCGGTAATGACATCACTTGTAACTGATGTCAGCCATGGCCAGGAATTAAAGTCAGGTTGTTATTCATGCGAAATACATTGCATGAATAACAACAAAAAAACGCTAAAATGGAAATAAAATGAAACTGTACACACTGCCTTCTGATGAGTGCAAATAACTAACCATATAAACTTGTAGGTCAAAAGGTTAAAATGTGGGGATCGGATGGTGTGGCAAGAGACCCAGGCAGAGAATTGCGCTGTGGGAGGAGGGGGGGGGCGTGTGACCTCGGACAACTGTAAACTCATTAGCTCTGCTTAATAAGTGCCCTCAAATTGCGAGTTCAAAAAACGCACGGAAGGGATGGGGGAAAAAAGGCCCTAACAGAAACAAATGTACAAATAATACACGACCGTTAAATCAAGGGGGAATAATAATTTGTACAAACTATGAATCTGTAGATATGAACGAAGATGCACATGTAGTGGAGCGGTGGTGCAGTGGTTAGCACACGCAGTGGTTAGTGGTGCAGTGGTTAGCACACTGCACCACCACAGTTAACACATTGCACACTGCACTTGGATACCCGGTGACCTGAATGTGGAGGACCCTGAGGAAAATCCACGCGTCCACGGGCAGAACATGCACACTCCAAATATAGTCGGGATCAAACCCACGACCTCCTGTATACCAGGCGAGGAATTTAACATATTACCACCGTGGCACCCCACAGGCCTGATTGCTAATGAGACCTTAAAGACTGAAATCGGCCAAGATGTTGCCTGCCTAAATATAACATTAGTCCCCGAAGGTCCAGAATTCAATTAAAAAATGTTTTGTACATGGAGAGAAGGCCTTCCTGTGAGTCGTTAATTCATTGCACTCCCTCCTCCTGCACATCCACTGCTGCATAAGGGCCTCCCAACACATTGTGGGCCACAAGGGACGTTTGACCATACTTCACACGCTGATCTGTGTGGGTTCGTGCAGGATGGTCGTGGGGGCGAGTGACCTTTGTGCACGGTGGTCACCCATGATTAGTTTACGAGATCTGACAGGATCGGGTGCATTCCACGTGGTTTGGTCATAACGAGCTTTTTTTTCTTCCTTGTATACAATTTGAAATCTGCAAGAACGTGGAGCCAAGTCTGCAAATGTCCCACTCCACATCCGAGATGCACTCCCTCATCCATTGGCTATAGCTTGAACAAACTAGTGGCTGATGGGAAAAGCGTCTGCATTTTGCAGAGAGCTTTCGTTTTCGTGTTGCAAAAAAGTGGATTCCCTGAGCGGCAGGTAGGTCCTGAGGGACGCTTGGCATGGCGTTGGCAGGGGATAGGTTCTCTGGGGACGATGATTCCTGGGTGCAAATGATGGATATGAGTGCTGGGAACGAGCGCTGCTGCTCAAGAATGTGACACGTGTGTGCCGGCCGCAGCGGGCTCCGGCGTGGTGAATGCGGTGCTTTATGTCTCGGTCTCTCCACACACACGAACGCACACACACCGGTAAACCTATCACACGCACACACACATGGATAAACCTGGTTATCACACACACACACATGGATAAACCTGGTGCACACACATACACACACCGGTAAACCTATCACACGCACACACACATGGATAAACCTGGCTATCACACACACACACACTCACGGGTAAAACCTATCACACACACACACACATGGATAAACCTGGCGCACACACATACACACACGGGTAAACCTATCTCACACACACACACACATGGATACACCTGGCACACACACACTCACGGGTAAAACCTATCACACACACACACATGGATAAACCTGGTGCACACACATACACACACGGGTAAACCTATCTCACACACACACACATGGATACACCTGGCACACACACACTCACGGGTAAAACCTATCACACACACACACATGGATAAACCTGGCGCACACACATACACACACGGGTAAACCTATCTCACACACACACACATGGATACACCTGGCACACACACACGGGTAAACCGATCTAACCCAAAAATAACTCCATTAAGCCTACGTGTTAAGCACACATGGATAAACCTGGCGCACACACACACGGATAAACCTGGCTCAAACACACGGATAAATCTGGCTCAAACACACGGATAGACCTGGCTCACACACACAGATAAACCTGGCTCAAACACACGGATAGACCTGGCTCAAACACACACGGATAAATCTGGCTCAAACACACGGATAAACCTGGCTCCACCACACGGGTAAACCTGGCTCAAACACACAGATAAACCTGGCTCAAACACACGGATAAACCTGGCTCAAACACACACGAATAAACCTGGCTCAAACACACACGGGTAAACCTGGCCCAAACACACGGGTAAACCTGGCTCAAACACACACGGATAGACCTGGCTCACACACACGGATAAACCTGGCTCAAACACACGGATAAACCTGGCTCAAACACACGGGTAAACCTGGCTCAAACACACGGATAAACCTGGCTCAAACACACGGGTAAACCTGGCTCACACACACGGATAAACCTGGCTCAAACACACGGATAGACCTGGCTCACACACACGGGTAAACCTGGCTCAAACACACGGATAAACCTGGCTCAAACACACGGGTAAACCTGGCTCAAACACACGGATAAACCTGGCTCAAACACACGGGTAAACCTGGCTCCACCACACGGGTAAACCTGGCTCAAACACACGGATAAATCTGGCTCACACACACGGATAAACCTGGCTCAAACACACGAATAAGCCTGGCTCAAACACACGGGTAAACCTGGCTCAAACACACGGATAAACCTGGCTCAAACACAGGGATAAACCTGGCTCAAACACACACGGATAGACCTGGCTCACACACACGGATAAACCTGGCTCAAACACACACGGATAAACCTGGCTCAAACACACGGGTAAACCTGGCTCACACACACACGGATAAACCTGGCTCAAACACACGGGTAAACCTGGCTCACACACACACACGGATAAACCTGGCTCAAACACACACGGATAAACCTGGCTCAAACACACGGATAGACCTGGCTCAAACACACACGGGTAAAACCTGGCTCAAACACACGGATAAACCTGGCTCAAACACACGGATAAACCTGGCTCAAACACACACGGGTAAAACCTGGCTCAAACACACGAATAAACCTGGCTCAAACACACGGATAAACCTGGCTCAAACACACGGATAAACCTGGCTCAAACACACACGGATAAACCTGGCTCAAACACACGGGTAAAACTGGCTCAAACACACACGGATGAACCTAGCTCAAACACACACGGATAAACCTGGCTCAAACACACGAATAAACCTGGCTCAAACACACACGGGTAAACCTGGCTCAAACACACGGGTAAACCTGGCTCAAACACACACGAATAAACCTGGCTCAAACACACGGGTAAACCTGGCTCAAACACACAGGTAAACCTGGCTCAAACACACACGGATAGACCTGGCTCACACACACGGATAAACCTGGCTCAAACACACACGGATAAACCTGGCTCAAACACACGGATAGACCTGGCTCACACACACGGATAAACCTGGCTCAAACACACGGATAAACCTGGCTCAAACACACACGGGTAAACCTGGCTCAAACACACGGAT